GATACAGGAAATGGTGGCCACCCAGTAACTCCACAGTATGTCCCCAAATGGTTCTTAAAGGGCCAGCAGCAGCACAACACAAATCCATTATGCCCAAATCATGTCTTTAAAGGGCAATACATCCCAGGAGCCATAGTCACAGGGCAAGAGGCGGGCAAGCAGTCCTCTCCAGGCACAAGTGGCGAAGGGCACTTCGTCACATCTATGTTATAACATGCAGCTGTGGCAAACAATATATTGGTAAGACATATCAAGAATTCAGAAGACATGTCTTACAGCATGTTAACTCTCATGATGGGGATGTCAAACATATGTCATTTCAAACTTTAGAAAGAGTCATTCTTAATTCTAGAAAAGGAAACTTTAACCAAATACTGTTACAAAAGGAGTCCAGATGGATATATGAGTTTCAAACTTTAACTCCAAAGGGCATTAATGAGGAATTTAATTTTACTCCCTTCATACGTTGAACATTGTTAAAACATATCCATAAAAATTGTACTATAAGAAGCTTGATCAATATATTTATCCTCTATACTGATTATGACTACTATATTATAAACAAGAACTTATATAAGTTTTTCTTTAATTAGCATCACATCTATATATATGCTGTTAAAAAAAAAATTTGACTATCATCATAATTTACATAAGAATCTACATAAGTTTTTCTTTAGAATAACACCACTTTATTATATTTATGTGGTCAAAATTCTGGGCAACTAATACCTAAAAAGACTTTCAAATTCTAACAAAAACCTGTATATGGACCTCTGTTTCTATATATATATTTTTTTTTTCTATGTACACGCTGTCCCTGACAAAAATAAAAATATAAATAAAAAATACATTAATTGTTGAGCTTTATGAATATAGGAAGATCTAAGTTCAGGATTCTATTACTATAAGCTCCATAGTTAGATCGTCCTCTTGACTTCTTCAATTAAATTTCTAATTATCCTAATCTAAAATTTTTTTACAATCTAAGTCAATTGCTTTGTTATATTTTTGTATATAGAAGTGTTTCAATACATCTTTTAAACTTAATCATAACGAACTAACTAAGTAGGATATTTAACTGTCTGTTAAGTGAACTACAGATTTGGTACCGAATTCCTAATGAGCAATACCAAGATAGTTATTTAATTAGTTATGGTAAAATTTGTGGACTTTTCCTATCAGTAAGACCGTTTCACCATAAATTATGCCGTAGCTCTAAAGTGATGCCTATCACCATAAAAAGCAGGGATGTAACTTTAAAACACTTTTAAAGATAATAATCTAATTGATTATGAATTTAAACTTTATCTACAAAGAAGAGACTGATCCTGTTTAAGACCTCCCATCGATCCTAAAAATTCTAGCTCTGTTAATTCAATATAAGACATAGGTCATAATAGGTTAATATCTGTCTTTAGTGAATATTTATAACTAAGGTTCAGCGCATGAACCGATATATCATAAACCGTTTACTATATTCCCAACAACATATCTTTTTAGATTAAAGCAGGAAATATACATATAAGAAGATCTTTGCTACCGATGTCACAAGTTGACATCATTGCAGTAATCTTTTTGTTTTTTAGTCCTAAATTATCAACACGAATTACATAGTGTCTGAAGGGTTAAAACCAAGTGTAAATGGATAATGGTTTACTCTAGTAATCATCAAAATATTAGTAACCTGGCTCCCCACTAGCGGTACCAGAGCACTAAGCCATCTGCCCAAAAAAGAGGCATCGAGCAGAACGGACGCTCCCTGAAAGGACTGTTGGACACTTCCCCCAAGAAGCAACAAAGAGCAGACAAAAAAAAAGTCAAACAACAAGCGGAAAAAAAATTCAAAAAAAGAGCAAGAGAAAAACCCTACCATCACGTCCAGACACGCGAGTGTTACCCCCGCTAAAAATTGTTGAAACTTGATATACTATTAGAGGTTGACTTAAAGAAGGGGATACAAGGTTAAACAGGCTTAATTGGGAGGCCTCCCCGGGTATCAGAAACCTGACATGCCGCTACCAACATGCCTACAACAACCCCCTAACCCAAGCGGAGGATTTAGAACCGACAAGGCAAGACGCAGACAAGGCAAGACGCAGACGACTGCAAGGCTTACAAACTCCGCGAAGGAGATAAGCAAAGGCCAAGCGCAACAAATTGCATTAGCCAAACCTGCAGTACCAACCACTAAAACTGTACGTCTAGAAGGGAAGTGAGGGAGTCAAACGGATAGGTAACAGGGGCACCTGACGGGATACATAATAAGGAGACATAAGTACCAATAAGCTATATGCCACAAACGAAATTAAAGATGACAAAGACGAATACCAGCGAAACCCGACAGAACATGGACCAGTTCGGGGTACGGTATAACAGGGGGTAGCAGAAACCTAATTACAGGCACCGAATAGGCGGAGTGGCAAGGCCCAGAGGGAGACCATAATGCCTCTTTAAATACTTGAGATCGAATGTTATTGTCAATGTAAATGTTAATGTTATTGGTACCTATGTATGCTTTCTCATATGCCAAGTTACTAAACCAAAGAAAATGTAAGGGATAATTGTGAACAAACACACTACTCGGAGCGTTGGCGGCGTGCTCGGCGGCTGGATGTCCTCTCCGTGAGTGGTGATTCCCACTGCGCAGCGGATCGTCACCCCCCGATTGGCCAAGCAACATATAAGACCTGGTCTTCTCAAATACAGAACCTACTTGGCAGGAGAACCTCCTCTCTGCCGAACCCTTATCATACCCTGACTACAACCAACCCCTCCACCCCCACATTCCTACCCATCGCCCTCTAGATAACGCTAGATGCATGCCCCGAGGATGACAAATCTAACAAGAGCCTATCCAATACTCCCCCCCCCCCACAGAACTGAGCAGCGCGACCCTATCACCCTCGCCACACCGAAAGGGACGCGCGGTGGGTCAGGCCAGGTGCAGAAAAAGACATTGATAGCACAAAGACACACGGACTGACCCGACCGGACAAATGGCCACGCTTAAGATCACTTCCCTGAATGCCAATGCCCTGAACATACAAACTAAAAGACAAAAAGCAGACATAGCATTCGTACAAGAGACACACATGCTGCGCTCAGCCCGTGTTCAGCTGATCGACCACATATATACCAGGTCATATGCCTCAAGAGCCCTGGTTAAGAAAAATGGGGTCAAAATACTAGTACAAAAGCGCTGCTGATTCACTACTCTTACCACCCAAACAGACACCGCAGGCAGGTACATAATCCTCATGGGGACCATCCATGCCAACACATACCACCTGATTAACCTATACGCACCCAATCAGCCAGAACAGGAATTCTGGGGACAGTTACAAAACAAGATAGGATATTGATACCTTAGAGAGGGTTCAGAGAAGGGCTACTAAACTGGTTCATGGATTGCGGGATAAAACTTACCAGGAAAGGTTAAAGGATCTTAACATGTATAGCTTGGAGGAAAGCGAGACAGGGGGGATATGATAGAAACATTTAAATATATAAAGGGAATCAACACAGTAAAGGAGGAGACTATATTTAAAAGAAGAAAAACTACCACAACAAGAGGACATAGTCTTAAATTAGAGGGACAAAGGTTTAAAAATAATATCAGGAAGTATTACTTTACTGAGAGGGTAGTGGATGCATGGAATAGCCTTCCAGCTGAAGTGGTAGAGGTTAACACAGTAAAGGAGTTTAAGCATGCGTGGGATAGGCATAAGGCTATCCTAACTATAAGATAAGGCTAGGGACTAATGAAAGTATTTAGAAAATTGGGCAGACTAGATGGGCCGAATGGTTCTTATCTGCCGTCACATTCTATGTTTCTATGTTTCTATGTAAGATACAAGCACTGCCACACGGAGTGGTTGTAGTCAGGGTGATTTTAACTCAGCGCCTTGCCCGGTGATGGACCGTAGCGAGCCAAAGAGAGTGCGGAGATCCCAGGGAGGCGGGGGACAGGAAAAATTGTTAGCGAAATTCATACACAAAACAGTACTATTAGACCCATGGAGGCTACAACACCTGGGGATCCAGTCCTCACGCATCAATCTCATAACTTGGTCGGACCACTCTGATATTGAACTCGCACTGGGAATACCAGGAGCCACTCCCCCATGGAAATGGAGGTTGAACGGTTCACTCCTCAAAGATCCGGAGGTGGTGAAACAAATGCAAGATGAACTGACCACATACTTTACGACAAACGACACGCCAGACTTAACACAAACCACAATATGGGCAGCACATAAATCGGTCATACGTGGAACCCTGATTAAAATAGCGACAAGATGCAAAAAACAGAAAGCGGAGACCCTTTTTAAGCTCCAAAAGGTGCTTAGAAAGGCAGAAATAAAACATAAACAGACACCTACGACCCTGGGGCTCCAAGAGCTCAGGGAACTGCGGCACAGGATATGGAATATGGCGGTCAAAGAACTAGGTAGGGATCTAAAATGAATACCCTACTGGCTAGTTCTGGCAACGTGGCTAAATCCCCTACTGATGAGCCTGATCCACGCGGATATTTTAGGTTTCGTGCCAACGAAGCAGCTGTAAGAGAATACGTGGAGGGGGGTGGATATCATATGGTGGGTATGGAGGACGCGAACGCCTTCTCTGATCCTTTCCCTGGACGTGGAGAAGGCGTTCGACAGGTTCCAGTGGCACTATGTCTTCACGCTACTGGAACACCTGCGGATACTGGGACCATTCATCACAGGAATTAGGGCCCTATATGCAGAACGCAGAGCACAAACAAATGTACCGGGATCGACACCGATCTCCTTCAGACCCAAGAACAGGTGCCCCCTATCCCCCCTGCTGTGTGTCCTTGCACTAGAGCCACTTCTTTACCAGATCCGGGTGAACAGGACCATAGAGGGGCTACAGGCCAGGGGAGAGCAATACAAAGTAGCTGCATATGTGGACGACGTCTTGATAACACTCACTAATCCCCAGCACTCACTGCCTCAGCTGACCCTGCTAGATGAGTACAGATACAAGTCGGGTTATAAGATCAACCTAGAAAAATCGGTGACCATGTCAATCAGGATGGACCAAGAGGAGGTCACCTGGCTAAAAAACACTCACACACTCAAAATCACAACATCCAACATTAAATACCTGGGGGTCAGACTTACAGCGGACCTTGACAAACTTTACACTGACAAACTTTACACTCTGTCGGGACATAGCGAGATGGCAGGACAAGCCAATCTCCTGGATAGGCAGGCTACACGCCATTAAAATGACATTATTGCCACACTTGCTGTTCCTGTTCCAGGCCCTGCTCGTTAAAGTAACCAAGCAAGATCTGACATCGCTACAAAGCACCATAGATAACTTCTAACAAAAAAGACACAGGGTGGCTCGGCAGGTACTATGCAGGCCAAAGTCCAGGGGCGGGCTGGGGCTGCCGAACCTCTACTTGTACTACCTGGCAGCACAACTGGCCCAGATAGTAACCTGGCACTCCCAAGTTGGATCCCATCGCTTGGTAGAGTTAGAACCCCACCTAATGCACAGACCTACCCCAATTCTGGATATGGGTGCCCAAACAAGACAGACCAGCCATCCGGACCACCTGCCTGGCAATCGTCAATTCCATTAGAATATGGGATCTGACAGCCACTAAACACGCCTTAAAAAACACATCTTCACCGATGACCCCGTACCTACGGAATAAAGCATTTGGACTGGCGCACGAGACTTCAGGGGCATTGAGGCCATGGGGGTAAATAGATATCTACACATATATGAAAATGGAACCTTCAGAACGTTTGTTAACCTAAAAACCCTGGCATCCCTGACCACAAAAGATGTATTCAGATAAATACAACTCAAGGACTTTGCCAAAAACCCAGAGATTTGAAAAGCAGCCCAAACCCCAATGACGTTTTACGAACAACTGTGCAATTCAGAAAATGAACAGAAAGGCCTGATAACAACAATATATGCACAAGTCAGTGCCCCAGACACGGACAACAAAGACCCTAGATATATCGGACAATGGGAGACTGACTTGGGACAAGAACTGGAGGGAGGGGACTGGGCAGACATGAGGGAAGCAACCACCAAGACCTCTATATGCGTACTACAACAGGAACAATCTTATAAAATGCTCATGAGGTGGTACACCACACCAGTGTGGTTACTTAGAATGGGTAAAACCACAACTGACACATGCTGGAAGTGGTCGGAATGCCCAAAGGTCAGCAGATTTTGGAAGCGAGTTCAGAAACTGCTGACAGACATCTTCGAGAGACACATAAACCTGGACCCTTGGTCCATCTTACTATCCAAGCCCACAGACGGCCTCTTTAGAAAGGAACAACAGCTCTTAAATAACGTTACCCTGGCAGCCAGATGGGCCCAGTCATGGCTGAAACCAACTGTTCCCTCGACCAATGACGTAATAGTGAAAATTAAAGACACATCCCTAATGGATAAACTAACAGCCCAGATCAGAAACACAGAAAAAAGTTTTTAAAAAATGTGGCAACCCTGGAATACTACTAAACACCCTCAGACTACACATGATCGGAGACAAAGGGCTGAGGGGAGAGAGCAGCCCAACGCACGCCCCACAGAGCGCCTCACCGCATGCCCCACTGCGCACTGTGCACCATCCCCCTCCCCTCTCTCTCTATACCTAATTTCTCACCCCCCCTCCTTTTCACATAAGTAAGAGAACGGCATGGAACCAGTGCCCACAGGGTCACACCACCAGGGTACCACTCTTACTAATGAAGCATAGAAATTCAATACAATATAGGAAAAGGCAGCGGAAGCCCCAGGGTGACCGGATCACTAGCACCATCAACCGCATACCACAACCGAGGTAATACTGGGCAACTATCTAACTACCTACACCTCTGGCCTAAATTATCTACTGCCCAAGCCGATTCTAGGTACGAAACACAAGGAGGGCAACGAATAGAAACCTGTATAGACACGCAGTAGGGTGCTATCGATGTATGAAACAATGTATAGCCTGTTCCAAATTATTATGCGTATGATATTTTTCTCATTTACCTAAATAATTCATGTAAATAACTGTCAGCATAATTCTCATGTTATCAACTATTAAGAGTACAACTCAAATTTTATTTATCAAAACTCCTAATGATAACAGTATCCCAGAGCTGCTGTTTGGATGTAAACTGCCTCCCACCCTCATAGATCTTTTGCTTGAGGATGCTCCAAAGGTTCTCAATAGGATTGAGGTTAGGAGAGGATGGAGGCCACACCATGAATTTCTCTAATTTTATCCCCATAGCAGCCATTGATGCAGAGGTATTCTTTGCAGCATGAGATTGTGCATTGTCATGCATGAAGATGATTTTATTACGGAAAGCATAGTTCTTCCTTCTGTACCAGGGAAGAAAGTGGTCAGTCAGAAACTCCACATAATTTGCAGAGGTCATCTTTACACCTTCGGGGACCCTAAAGGGGCCGACCAGCTCTCTTCCCATGATTCCGGCCCAAAACATGACTCCACCACCGCCTTGCTGACGTTGCAGCCTTGTTAGAACAGGGTGGCCGTCCACCAACCATCCACTACTCCATCCATCTGGACCATCCAGGCTTGCACGGCACTCACCACTGAACAGGACTGTTTGAAAATTAGTCTCCATTTATTTTTCTGCCCAATGCAGCCATTTCTGTTTGTGAGCATTGGTTAGTTGTGGCCGAATAGAAGGTTTATGCACAGTTGCAAGACTCTGGAAATCTCTACACCTTGATGTCCGTGGGACTCCAGAGGCACCAGCAGCTTCAAATATCTGTTTGGTGCGATGTAATAGTATTTTAGCAGCTGCTTCTCGCGGTCACTGCCCGCCTTCCTATTGAAGCCGTCGGATGAGCCGCGCGCGGCTCGTGCAGCAGCAGGACCGCGCGCGGCTCGAAGAGAGGACCGTGGCCGGCCCCTGGATAAGGTAACGCTACAGTACCCCCCCCTGAGGACACGCCCTCCGGGCGGGTAGGGCCAGGCCTGGCAGGAAAACGAGAATGGTAAGAACGCACAAGGCGGGGAGCGTGAACAGCATCAGCTGAAATCCAACTGCGCTCCTCAGGCCCATAACCTTTCCAATGCACCAAGTACTGAAGTCGACCCCTAAGGTAACGAGAGTCAAGAACAGCAGAAACTTCGAATTCCTCATGACCCTCCACGGAGACAGGAGGCGGAGGCGGAGAATGCCGGGTATAGCGGTTGCGTACGTACGGCTTCAACAACGAGGTGTGAAAGACATTAGGAATACGCAGATTCCAAGGAAGACCCAAGGCATATGAAACAGGATTAACCTTATGCAGAATACGATAAGGACCTATGAAGCGGGGAGCCAATTTCATAGAAGGCACCTGCAGGCGAATATTCCGCGTGGAAAGCAAAACCCTGTCCCCCACAACATAAGAAGGAGCCGCTCTGCGATGCTTGTCAGCCTGAGCCTTCTGGCGAGCAGCGGAATCCACCAAAGAACGCTGAACCTGCTCCCAAGTATTACGCAAACCAGCCAAATGCTCATCCAGAACTGGCATGCCCTGTGAGGAGAATGCAGCGGGATGCTGGCCATAGACAACGTAAAAAGGGCTTTTGCCGGAAGAATCATGAGTGGCGTTATTCCGAGCAAACTCAGCCCAAGGAAGTAGGTCAGACTAATTGTCCTGATGGTGAGACACAAAACAACAACAACACTGTGCACCCTCCCCCTCCCCTCTCTCTCTATACCTAATTTCTCACCCCCCCTCCTTTTCATATAAGTAAGAGAACGGCATGGAACCAGTGCCGACAGGGTCACACCACCAGGGTACCACTCTTACTAATGAAGCATAGAAATACAATACAATATAGGAAAAGGCAGCGGAAGCCCAGAGACTGGTTGGCACGTTCAGCAGCTCCATTAGACTGGGGATAGTAAGCAGAAGAAAATGAGAGAGAAATACCAATTTCTGAGCAAAAGGCTTTCCAGAACCTGGAAATAAATTGGCTCCCCTATCGGACACAATAGATACGGGAATACCATGTAACCGAAATACTTCTCTAGCGAAGATTAGAGCCAGTTCCTTGGATGTGGGCAACTTGCGAAGAGACACAAAGTGAGCCATCTTGGAAAACCGATCTACTATCATCAGGATGACTGTGTTACCATTCGAAGGGGGTAATTCAACAATAAACTCCATGGATAGGTTAGACCAAGGTCTCTCGGGAACGGGTAAGGGATGCAGAAGCCCACAAGGAACTCTACGAGACGTTTTCATACATGTACAAGTAGTACAAGCACTTATATAGTCAGTGACATCCTTCCGTAAGGAACCCCACCAAAAATATCGAGAAACTGCTGACATCGTTTTGGTAATACCAGGATGTCCAGCAGTCTTAGTATCATGATATAATGACAGAATCTCCCGTCTCTCAGGAACATCAACAAACAATTTATCAATAGGCCTCTCGCTAGGTGCCATACTTTGTTTCGCCTGTATGGTCTGCAAGAGGGATGAAGAAATAGACAACATAGTAGTAGCTATTATCCTGTCTGGGGGAATGACAGGAGTAACATCAACCTCCTGTTTGTCAGTAGTTTCGAAACTGTCTGGACAGAGCGTCTGCTTTAATGTTGCGATCACCTGGCCTATAGGTGATAATATAATTGAAACGGGACAAAAATAGTGACCACCTATCCTGCCTAGAAGATAATCTTTTAGCTTCACCAAGGTCGGATAGATTCTTGTGATCCGTAAAAATGAGGATACGATCCTTAGTTCCTTCTAACAAGTGTCTCCATTCTTTAAGAGCTAAGATAATAGCAAGGAGTTCACGATTACCCACATCATAATTCCTTTCAGCTTTGGACATTTGTCTAGAAAAGAAGCCACAAGGATGCAATGGCTTTTCAGGCGATTCTCTTTGGGACAAAACAGCACCTACCCCGATATCAGAAGCATCAACTTCAAGAATATAAGGCAGTAAGGGGATAGGGTGCTGTAAAATAGGTGCAGAGGCGAATGTAGTTTTAAGAAAGTCGAAAGCCTGAAGTGCCTCGGGAGACCAGACACGAGTATTACCACCCTTTTTTGTCATACAGGTGATAGGCGCTACAATAGAAGAAAAACCCTTAATAAAGCTTCTATAATAGTTGGAGAAACCAAGAAAACGCTGAATTGCTTTCAAACCCCGTGGTAGGGGCCACTCTATGACAGCAGAAAGTTTCTGGGGATCCATACGAAACCCTTTGGTGGAAATCAAATACCCCAAGAACTGGACTTCGGATTGGTCAAATAAACATTTTTCTAGTTTACAATAAAGACCATTAGCAAGAAGGGTCTTCAGGACCGTTGTGACATGTCTGTGATGAGGGTGTAAATCTGTAGAATATATCAGTATGTCGTCCAAGTATACAATTACAAATGTGTGAATAAAGTCTCTTAGGACGTCATTAATAAATTCCTGAAATACTGCCGGGGCATTGCAAAGACCAAATGGCATAACAGTATACTCGTAATGACCGGATCTAGTGTTGAATGCAGTCTTCCATTCGTGACCTTCCTTTATGCGTATTAAATTGTATGCACCCCTAAGGTCCAATTTGGTGAACACAGTAGCATGTTTGAGCCTGTCAAATAATTCTGTAATTAAAGGTATGCATTTTTGATAGTGATTTTGTTTGGACCGCTATAATCGATGCACGGTCTTAAATCACCCTCTTTCTTAGATACGAAGAAAAACCCTGCTCCAGCCGGAGAAGAGGATCTCCTAATGAACCCCTTTTCTAGCGATTCTTTAACATACTCCTCCATGATACGGTTTTCTTGAATAGATAAAGGGTACACCCTGCCCTTTGGAGGTATAGTGCCAGGCAATAAATCGATAGCACAATCATAGGATCTGTGAGGCGGTAATTTATCAGCTTCCCTTTTATCGAATACAGTTTTGAGAAACAAGTACTGAGGAGGTATAACAGTAGACAAAGGAGGAGTAGTAGGAACATTAATGGTATTTAAAGGGGTGACTTTAATCATACAAGAGTCGTGGCAGGTTTTGACCCATGATTTTAATTGTCCCAATTCCCAGTCGAAAATGGGATTATGAGAACATAACCATGGGTACCCTAACACGATATGAGAAGAGGGAGAGGTGATTACCTGAAATCGAATGGTCTCAAAGTGTAAAACCCCTGTGTACATGAATAACGGTACAGTTTCATGGGTAACGACTGGAGTATTTAAAGGTCTACCATCTATGGCCTCAATGGCCAAGGGTATCTCCCTCTCTCTGACGGGAATGTTATTTTTCGTAACAAACCCAGAGTCAATGAAGTTCTAAGCACCCCCAGAATCAACCAAGGCTAGTATGTTTTCAGCTATACAACTCTCTCCCGTATGAAGGGAAACAGGGAGAAGCAAACGGTTAGGAGGCAATTTAGGAGACTTAGATATCACACCCAAGGCCAGTCCCCTATAAGGTCTTAGGTGCGAGAGTTTTCCGGAAGCAAAGGACATTCTTTTACCCTATGGTCTCGCCTACCACAGTATAGGTTTATTGAAGGGGGTGTTAAATGGGGCGAAGTATTAGGTGAATTGCCTATACTGTGGTAGGCGAGACCATAGGGTAAAAGAGTCTGTTCCTTCTTCCAAGTAATTTTTCAGTATCCGAGAGTTTGGCAACCCCTAATTGCATGGGTTCCTCCTCGGATACTTTAACACTCTCAGGTTTATCAACTCTGGGGTTAGTAGGTGTGACCAAACGTCTATTCCTGTTCTTAGTATAGAGCCTGTCACGAATCCTATTATCTATATCAATGAGGTAGTCAATAAGGTCCTCTAATGGAATAGGAAGCTCCCTTGCTGCTACCTCATCTAATATAGTGTCAGATAAACCTTCCATGAACGCAGTCGTTAACCCATTATTGGTCCAATCTACCTGTGAAGCAAGGGTACGAAACTGAACAGCATAATCAGCCACAGACCTAAAACCCTGTTTAATTCTCATTAATGCTCTTGCGGCATTCTTTGACCTTTTTGTTGTGTCAAAAGTTCTACGAAAAGCCATAAGAAAGCTATTGAAATTATGCACCATAGGTCCATTGGCCTCCCAAATAGGATTTGCCCACTCAAGTGCTTTGTCAGTAAGTTGATGCATCAAAAACCCCACTTTAGACCTATCAGTGGGAAAGGAATGTGGATACATCTCAAGGTGGAATTCTATTTGATTAATAAAACCTCTGCATGTCTTAGCTTCCCCTCCATACCTAGAAGGGGGTGTTAAATGGGGCGAAGTATTAGGTGAATTGGATACTTCGGGAAGAAGAGGTGTAGGAGGGTTAGGTGTGGTTGCAGGAATAGTTCTAGACAAGAGCGTCTGGAGAGCCTGTGCTATCTGATCCATACGGTGATCCTGCTCTACAAACCTTGCCTTGTGAGAAGCCATTTGCTGAGCCAAATCTGCGGGGTCCATGGCCCTATTGTAATGTAACGAGAATATACCCCAACACGCAGGATTCAGCTAAACAGAAGACAACACAGAGGAGAGATACGTCTACCGGACCTTAGAATGGCCGGACTCGACGTATATGAGAGGAGACAGAGTCAGGAGCGATCCGAAGTCAAGGGCACAGAGAGACAGCGTAAACTAGGACTAGCCGGGGTCTGGTACACAGTAAACAGCAAGCTGGAAACCAGAACAGATAAGGATAAAGAGAAAACGTAGTCAGAAACAAAGCCAAAGTCAATACGAAGAAAACCCAACTGAACACAACAAGCGCTAAAGGGAACTGAAACAGAAACCACGATAGGGCAGCGAGTAAAGGGAGAGGTAAGTTTAAATAGCTTCTAAACTAATGTGATTGGCTCCTGTCATAGCCATACCCCCAAAAGGTAAGTGTATGGGGAGTGTGGCATGACAGGGGCCAATGGGAGCCTTTTGACAATTTAGGCTCCCACTGTCTCTTTAAGAGTGCGCCCGAGACTCGCGGCGCGCTCTTAGATTCAGGCGGGACACGTGACCGCTTCTCGCGGTCACTGCCCGCCTTCCTATTGAAGCCGTCGGATGAGCCGCGCGCGGCTCGTGCAGCAGCAGGACCGCGCGCGGCTCGAAGAGAGGACCGCGGCCGGCCCCTGGATAAGGTAAGTAACGCTACAGTGAGTTTTTGGACAGTTTCTGCTTGGATTTGTTTGCAAGATGTCAGAATAGCCTCCCAGAGCTGCTGTTTGGATGTAAACTGCCTCCCACCCTCATAGATCTTTTGCTTGAGGATGCTCCAAAGGTTCTCAATAGGATTGAGGTTAGGAGAGGATGGAGGCCACACCATGAATTTCTCTAATTTTATCCCCATAGCAGCCATTGATGCAGAGGTATTCTTTGCAGCATGAGATTGTGCATTGTCATGCATGAAGATGATTTTATTACGGAAAGCATAGTTCTTCCTTCTGTACCAGGGAAGAAAGTGGTCAGTCAGAAACTCCACATAATTTGCAGAGGTCATCTTTACACCTTCGGGGACCCTAAAGGGGCCGACCAGCTCTCTTCCCATGATTCCGGCCCAAAACATGACTCCACCACCGCCTTGCTGACATTGCAGCCTTGTTAGAACAGGGTGGCCGTCCACCAACCATCCACTACTCCATCCATCTGGACCATCCAGGCTTGCACGGCACTCACCACTGAACAGGACTGTTTGAAAATTAGTCTTCATTTAGTTTTCTGCCCAATGCAGCCATTTCTGTTTGTGAGCATTGGTTAGTTGTGGCCAAATAGAAGGTTTATGCACAGTTGCAAGACTCTGGAAATCTCTACACCTTGATGTCCGTGGGACTCCAGAGGCACCAGCAGCTTCAAATATCTGTTTGGTGCTATGTAATGGTATTTTAGCAGCTGCTCTCTTGACCCGATGCATGTATCTGGCAGAATTCTTCCTCAATGTACTTTATCAGTACGAACCGGTCTGTGCTCTGAATCAGCCACAAATCTCTTAATAGTGCGACGATCACGCTTAAGTTTTTGTGAAATATCTAATGTTTTCATACCTCATCCAAGGCATTGAACTATTTCACTCTTTTCGGCAGCAGAGAGATCCTTTTTCTTCCCCATATTGTATCAAAATGGTGCTCTGCTTAATAATGTGGAACACCCTCCTTTAGTAGTTTTTCCTTAAATTGGGCTCACTTGGCAATCTTATTATCACAGGTGTCCGAGATTGTTTTCCGTGATCAAAAGAGCCCTGAGAAATATTTAATCTTTGTGACACTTAATTAGAATTTGCATAATAATTTGGAACAGAGTGTACACACTCCACAACTGAAGCTCTCAATAGGCAGACAATGGAAATGTATATCCCAACTGGCTAAATTAATGTATATTACCCAGCACTAGAGAGAATAGACAGGTACACTAAATAACGATTTCAATAATATAAAAATAAAAATAATAAAAAATGGAGTGGATAACACCCTGGAGGTGTGGTAAACAGAGAAGCGGGGACACCGCTGGTGCACTGCACCACCAGGGCCCTCTGGGGGAAGCCCAGTCTGGGTCACGGCCTATAGCCCACAAAGGAGCCCCGACTGGGGGACCACCGAGGTTGCCCGTGGGGGCGGGGGGGGGGCCCGCACCATAAGAACGATCATAACACCACAGCTCCGGAGTCAGTTATTGCCTATGCTCTAGAAGGTACTGGTTCCTTTATACACTACACATAACTAAACTGCGTTCTCCTTAACGTAGCGTTGTATGTTTAACTTTGTCTGTTATGTACATCAATGATAAAACCTTGACGAATGGCGATCATTTCAACCTGTTGTAAAATTTAACATGTAATAATGTTTCCTTTCTGTATCAAAGGGCATATGGGACTACCATTTCTCGGCTTTTGTACAAGCCATATAATAATGACGTGTCGCTTTCTATGTCAAGACATAAATAAAGAATTTTTTATGAGTGTATAAAAATACCAAATGGTTACTCACATTTAATTGGGCAGACGCACTGCTCAATGATGGGGCGTAAGTGGTATAATCCCCACCAAGGATGCTTTGGAGTAGTATCTCTCTGGAACAAATAAAAAAGATGCCAGGTAGTAAAATAATAAAAATGGTAAAAAAAAGATAAAATGGCTAACTTACAACAAAGAAAGTGGCCAAAATACCTTTATTAAAATACAGTTGGTTAAAATTTCCACAATGTGTTTCTCCTCTTTAGGCTTTCTCAAGTGGATAAAAACATGTACCTGACAACAGTGGTTTTATATAGGCCTCAAATTACTTAATTTTGGAGCCAAATAGAGTTGAGAGAACCCGAACTGTAAAATTCGGGTTCGTACTGAACATTAGGTTTTTTGAACCCCGGACCCGAACACGGACATATCACTGTATGTTCGGGTTGGAATTCGGTGTTCGGCGATTAAATGGCGTGTTTTGAAAGGCTGCAGGGCAGCCAATTAACTAAGGGCACACGAGTGTTTGACTCGTGTGCCCTTAGAAAACATCAAAGCCATGCCTACTAATGAGAGTCAAATAGAAGCTTCAAATACCGCGATTACATCGGGGTTTTAAAAAGTCAATTTTTTTGTGTGCTAAATACTACATTAGTGGGATAGTACATTAGTGTGATGCACTTCATATCTGAGAGTCAAATAGAATCGTCAAATACTTTGGTCACATTGCAGTTTTTAGACTTAAATTTTTTTGGGTGCTAAAAAGTATACTACTGGGGTGCGCTTCATATCTGAGAGTCAAATAGAAGCGTCAAATACTGCGGTCACATTGCAGTTTTAAAACTTAAAATTTTTTGGGTGCTAAACTGCTTAATAGTATTTTATTGGGTTGCACTTTATATCTGAGAGTCAAATAGAAGCGTCTAATAGTGTGTTTACAGCGCAGTTGTAAAAATTCTAATTTTCTGGGTGCTAATCTGCTAAATAGTACATTTTGGTGCCTGCTCTTCATATCTGAGAGTCAAATAGAAGCATCAAATAGTGCGCTTACTGCGCAGTTGTAAACATTCTAATTGTTTTGCTGCTAATCTGCTGCTTACATTGGAGTTTTAAAAAGTCAGTTTTTATTTTGTATTTTTTTTTGGTGATAAATAGTATATTTGGGGTGTTCACTTCATATCTGAGAGTCAAATAGAAGCGTCTAATAGTGTGCTTACAGCGCAGTTGTAAAAATTCTAATTGGTTTGCTGCTAATCTGCTAAATAGTACATTTGCGGCCTGCGGTGCACTTCATATCTGAGAGTCAAATAGAAGCGTCTAATAGTGTGCTTACAGCGCAGTGGTAAACATTCTTATTTTCTGGGTGCTAATCTGCTAAATAGTACATTTTGTGGCCTGCTTTTCATATCTGAGAGTCAAATAGAAGCGTCTAATAGTGTGCTTACAGCGCAGTGGTAAAGATTCTTATTTTCTGGGTGCTAATCTGCTAAATAGTACATTTTGTGGCCTGCTCTTCATATCTGAGAGTCAAATAGAAGCATCTAATAGTGTGCTTACAGCGCAGTGGTAAACATTCTAACTGTTTTGCTGCTAATCTGCTAAATAGTACATTTTGGGGCGTGCACTTCATATCTGAGAGTCAAATAGAAGCGTCTAATAGTGTGCTCACAGTGCAGTGGTAAAAATTCTAATTTTCTGGGTGCTACTCTGCTAAATAGTATACTTTGGGGCGTGCACTTCATATCTGAGAGTCATATCGAAGCGTCTAATAGTGTGCTTACAGTGCAGTTGTAAAAATTCTAATTGTTTTGCTGCTAATCTGCTAAATAGTACATTTTGGGGCGTGCACTTCATATCTGAAAGTCAAAGCGAAGCGTCTAATAGTGTGCTTACAGCACAGTTGTAAATATTCTAATTGTTTTGCTGCTAATCTGCTAAATAGTACATTTGCGGCTTGCGGTGCACTTCATATCTGAGAGTCAAATAGAAGCGTCAAGTAGTGTGCTTACTGCGCAGTTGTAAACATTCTAATTGTTTTGCTGCCAATCTGCTAAATAGTACATTTTGTGGCCTGCTATTCATATCTGAGAGTCAAATCGAAGCATAACTTTGATTCGAATTTACTACATTGGTTACTTGTAATATTGTTTCACACCTACAACACTTGTTACACAGATCTAAGTGATGGAAAACAGATTGATATTTTCTACACTAGAAACTACCAGATAACAAGCTTCTATATTTAAACCAGTTATCAATAGCTAAGAGGTACTTAAACAATATTGTAATTCTGGGGCAATACCCTCACAAGTCAAACTGAGAGGTCAGTTTATAGGGAAACCTGTTGCCTGGATACAATTCTAAAACAATTTTCATATGTCCTCTGCAGACTTTACATGCTGGAAAAACACAGGTGCCAACTGCTGTGGCTTTTTGCAGTGTGCATACCGGCAAGGAGGGCAGGGTTGAGGAGTGGGTGGAAGATGATGTGGAGGATGATGAGGTCCTAGACCCCACATGGAATCATGGTCATGTGAGTGACGTGTGCAGTTTGGAGGAAGAGGCGCTGGTCGCACAGAGGCACTAGCACAGCATAAGAGGGAGCATGGTGCAAAAGCGGAGCAGCCATCCCCTAGCACTCGTTGGCATGTATTAGCTCGAGAATTACCAGTTATCCAAGTACTACATGTAGCGATCAAATGATCCATAATGGAGCTGAGTGAACCCAAACTGCAAAGTTCGGGTTCGTACCAGGTTTAACGATCCATTTATAGTTTCACAGTCAGTTTATAGTTTAGGCAGTCCCCGGTCGGACGACCGGGACCCAGTATGCCTGATGTTGAAGTTAAGAGTCACAGTGTGGAATGAATTAGCAGGGTCTGGTGCAGGGTAACCGCATGCCCCCTGGTGTTGAGCACCAGCGTTTGTGTGGCCACAAACCAGAACCCTGATGCAGCTTCAGTAAAAAGAGTACTGGATACCAGAAGCTATCACCATACTGATCCGCAACTTGGAACAGGATGTGACATTCACTGTAGCGGCTGTGCGCACTTTTGGCATTCTCACCCTGCTGCTGCTTGCCTGTCTGCACTGCAGCGTAACTTCAGCCTTCCCGCTCACCGCCTCATGAGACTGTGCAAGCAGCAGCAGGCGATAGTGGAGTTTTAGCTGCAGCACGCACGGGTCAGTGGCTCTGCACCAGACTTCCCTCCAATTGATCAAAGTTAAAGGATTTCAAAAGGACTCATTACAATTACAAGGCCTCTAAAGAGTCCTGTATTGTTATTTTTCGTCACTACCTTCCTGCGTCGGGAGTGGGTAATTTGTGCACCTGCTGCCTTCCTTGCATGTGGTAGCCGTTTCTCAGGGTCCCTGTATGGAATGGAACCCTGATTCCCCGTTACCCGTGGTCACCATGGTAGGTGCAGAAACTGGCATCGAAAGTTGATATGGATGACATCCGAATGCAAAGTCACTGCCACGGGGATGTGCGATTGGCCCGAGGTTCTCTAGAGTCAACAAAGTGCCTGCGCAACTATTATGTCAACAGCTACTCTGCGGAACAGAGTTGTCTTTTTTTATATGTCCCAATATTTTGGGGGCTACGCCAATTAAAATATATATATATATAAAAAACAGTGTTGGCTACCTCATCCTCCTTTTCCACCGCTGCTTCCACCTACACTGCCACCGTCACTGACTCCTCTTTCTATGGGTCACTTAGTATAAACTATGTACACAATAGCAGAGGCTTGTGAAGGCCTTTTCTCCATGCATCAGGAGGTGAGCATTTCTCCATGCATCAGAACTGCAAGAAATGCACCGCAGGCCGCAAATGACAACATAATCAGCAAACCAGCCGACATAGGTGGTGGTCTAGTGGTTCTCTCTAAAACTATGTACATTGATGAAGCACTCAGACAACTAAGTGACTTTTAAGTATATAATAAACTATCCTCAGACCCTACCCATAGTATAAACAATACTCTATCCAATTTTTAACGGCCTAGAATCAAACATACTCAATAAAAAAGAATTTGAATATCTTAACGTAACTCACCCCAAGATTCCTGTTATCTATTTTCTACCCAAAATACATAAAGATGAAAAAAATCACCCAGGAAGACCCATTGTTTCTGGGATAAACTCCATATTGTCAAACCTATCCGAATAAATATACATTCTATTACAACCATCAAACTCATTAGGTCATACCTAAAGGACTCTATGACCCTGCTACGGTTTTTAGACAGTTTCAATTGGCAACCTGATTATATTTTAGTCACCTGTGATGTGCAATCCCTATATACTATTATCCCGCATGATAAAGGTTGCGATTCAGTTTTTTAAAGACTAAAAGCAGATAACATTATCCCAGACATTTTAGAGGGTATTAATATGATCTTGACAAATAACTATTTTTGGTTTTTAAACTATTTTTATATACAAAATCATGGCACAGCTATGGGAACCAGGTTTACCCCCAGTTTTGCTAATCTTTTTATGGATGACTGGGAGTCAGAGGCCATTTTGGCGATCACCCCTAGAGGGCAAACCTGGTTACCTAATATTGACAACCTGTTTTTTGTTTGGAAAGGCCCTGAATTTTCTCTCAAGTTATTTTTAAATCATCTTAACAAGAACAATAATGGTATAATTTTATCCTCAGAATATAACACCATATCTATTAACCTTTTAGACATACAAATTTTTATTCATCATAATATCCGCCAAACTCTAGAGCCAAAATAACATCATGGTCACATGGCCTTTTTCTTTCTTTTTTTCATAACTTTGCCAGCAGGGGGGCTGCCTGTAATGACAGGTGGTCCCCCTGCTGGCTGGAAATAAAATAAATAAAATTAAAAAAAGTTAAATTAGTGTAAAAAAATATATATATACTTAGATCATATATATATATATATTATATGTATATGATCTAAATATATATATACACATATACATACACACAAATACACTGTCTAGGTGTATTTTACTATTAATATATATATATATATAATATATATATATATTAATATCAAATTACACATAGACTGATATTGATTAAATATATATATAATTATTGTTCTATATATATTTATATATAATATAAAAAATTAAATATGTAAATACGTTAAAAAATAAAATTAAAAAAATTATTTTAAAAAATTATTAAAAAATATATAGATGTGTGTTATTTTGTTCTAACTGTATTGTGATATTAATATATATATATATATATCAAAATACATGTAGAACGAAATAATATATATATCTATATACATAAATATATACGTATATATATCACTATATATATACCTATATATAAATAAAAATATTTTTAAAAAATTATATATATATATATATATATATATATATATACATATATATTCACATACATATATATATACATATATTAATTCTACATATATATTTATGTAATATTTTTACATAATTAGGTATCTTAATTAATTACAATTAGCGGGACCTGCCTGACAACCCATGCCGAAAGTAAAGGGAATTTAATTTGCTAGCACTATATTTAACCCTATACCTTTCCAAGACACCATAAAACCTGTACATGGGGGTACTGTTCTACTCGGGAGACTTCGCTGAACACAAATATTAGTGTTTCAAAACAGTAAAATGTATTACAACGATGATATCGCCAGTAAAAGTGTTGTTTTTTGCATTTTTCACGCACAAACAGCACTTACACGGACGATATTATTGCTGAGATACTTTTTACTGTTTTGAAACACAAATATTTGTGTTCAGCGAAGTCTCCCGAGTACAACAGTACCCCTCATGTACAGGTTTTATGGTGTTTTCAAAAGTTACAGCGTCAAATATAAGGCTTGTGTTTCATTTTTTTCACATTAAAATTCGCCAGATTGGTTACGTTGCCTTTGATACCCTATGGTAGCCCAAGAATGAAAATTACCCCTATGATGGCATACCATTTGCAATAGTAGACAACCCAAGGTATTGCAAACGGGGTATGTCCAGTCTTTTTAAGTAGCCACTTAGTCACAAACACTGGCCAAAGTTAGCGTTCATATTTGTTTTTGTGAGAAAAAAGCAAAAAACTAATATTTGGCCAGTGTTTGTGACTTAGTGGCTACTAAGAAAGACTGGACATACCCCACTTGCAATACATTGGGTTGTCTATGTTTGCAAATAGTATGCCATCATGGGGGTAATTCTCATTCCTGGGCTACCATACGCTCTCAAAGGCAACATAACCAATCTAGCAAATTTCAATGTCAAAAAAATGAAATGCAAGCCTTATATGTGACTCTCTAACTTTCCAAAACACCATAAAATCTGTACATGGGGGATACTGTTGTTTTCGGGAGACTTCACTAAACACAAATATTAGTGTTTTAAAACAGTAAAACATATTACAACAATAGAATAACAAAGTGGGGGGTGCAATAAATAGAATGAATAGTACAAAATATAAATACTTATTCGTAGTAGTAGTAGGAACTTAATCTGTAAAACACAAAAGTCCATACATAGTGTAAAACTGTAAATAGTAGAAGTAATAGAAGCAAAGGTATTGGGTCACTCACAATAAATAGAGCCTAAAATAGCAGGCTCTAGCTTGATTGCATGTGGAAAATCAGCTTTTCCAGGCTATTCAAGATGTCCCCACAGTCTTCCTATAGACACTGGTGCTGGATTCCAGATGTAGGAAAGATGGATCAAAAGAATTCTTCAGCTTTAAAAAGTATTTACTTCAATAAAATAACAAGATAAATAAAAATGTAAAAATATATAACATTTAAAACACAACGCGTTTCGACAATAAGTCTTTCTCAAGGGTACACTAAGGGTACTTGTGTATACTAATGTAATCTTTTATGTAATTATATGTATTTATCTATATATATATATTTGCGGTTATTTCTATTTTATATATAGATAGATAGATAGATAGATATAGAATGTCATTCTAAGTGTCTTTTTTTTCCAATATATATATATTAATAACAAAATACAGTTAGAATGAAATTACATATGAATATATAATTTATATATTTTGTTTCAATATTTTATTTATTAATTTTATTATTTTATTTATTTATTATTGTAATTATACGTATATATATATGTTAAAACAACAATGAAAATAAAATTACAATAAAAAGTCCAATATAAAAAAGAGAATCCAACTTGAGTGTCCTTATGGGTGATCTTTATAACAGAAAGTGCAATAGTGGAGTCTTCATAGACTGTATTAGTTCCGCTTATGTAGAAGACAAAAAAGAGAGAGAGGGACGACCAATAGTGCAGTATTGTATAATTCCAATAGTGACGTACTTAGAATTTATAGTACAGAGCTCACATTTGGTAGAGCTTATGTCCAGCTCTAGGATAAAAGCGCGTGCAGCGGTATAATCCCCGCTTGTAGGATATGTCTGGGGTATCTCTCCGTCAGTGGTGTCCAACTCTCAAATACGAAAAAGAAAAGACAGCCGATAGTGCTCACTGTATAGTAGTCTTAATATAAATAGATAAAAACGTACTTACAAATGAGGAGCAAACCAACTGCTCTTGTGTATCAGCATAGGTGGATTGATCCCCACCTCTGGATTTCTTTGAAATACAGGATACTTCCAAATGGTTAAAAATCCAAAAGAGGAATGAATAAAATAGTAATAAATAAAATACTAAAAAATAATAGAATAATAATAAAAAGCCAGGTAAGAGAATGTGTATATAAAACTATAAAAAAGAAAATTTGGAGCAAATGAATGACCAAAAATTACTTTTAATATTAAAATACACAATATAACATATCCAAAACGCGTTTCGTCAACAGACTTTATCAAAATGGAATAGCATACAATACCTGGCTTAGTTTGAATTATATAGGAGTGTGGGTGATTCAGATTTGGCGCCAAAATTGATCCGTCCAATCAGAATTCAGATTTTTATGGCGATATTGTGACAGACCCATCTGTCTGGATTATAAATGCTGTGTTCGCCTGTTTTGCCGGTTACATGAATTTCCCCATTCGTATGCTTTATTCAAGGGAATGTCGGTTTTGTCGAACGGAACTACCGAACGGATGGCCACCCAGAAGAGAAGTGTGCTGCTGGTTAACTTATTGATCCCAATTAGAACGTTGCGGTTAACCACAGACACTTCTCAATTAAAACCGAATGCCGGGTGGTCGTCGTTCGTATGTCGACCACGAGGCGGCGGCCATTTTGTCCATGCGAACGACCAGCGGTGTTCGGCGATTATTTCATGGATCTGAAAACGGACACTTTTTCAGCCGAACACCGCTGAAGCCGTCGACCTCCCCTTCTCAATCGACAAAAGTATACGAATGCCAGCCGTTCGGGAGATTCAACCACACGAATGGACTTAACCCAGATAGCCGTCCCATGGAGTCAATCGCATACCGACGAACTGAAAGAGACTTTGACTCCATGGCGATTGAACTGTGCGAATGGGATCTGAGCGCTATTCTTCAATAATGTGCCCTCAGATCCAGGCTATCTGGGGATATGCAATACAAATGTAATATGTTCGGCAGTTATGAAGTTATGGATTTTCATGTGTTTTTGTGACTTGTGTTTAAAATGGCGATTGCCTCTGCTCGGGGAGATAATTGAGTTACTTCCCAATTATCCCTCGAGCAGAGGGGAGGGAACTGTGATGCATGCTGGGAATATTGTGGGGATGTATGTCCAAAATGTCCCCATGTCCCTCTGTGATTTCAGTCTCCCATTTGGTCCCCTAGGGGAGTGTCCACCAAGTGGGAGACCTGCATAAATACCGGGCAGGTAGCCCACAGTAAATCAGTTCGTGTTTTACCCTCAAAGCGGAGCTTGGTCTCGTTATTGGGGGGATTTGGATACCAGCGGCGAGAGACTGCTTATTTGGATTATTTGCCGCTTGGGAGATATTGTCGTTCGGTTACTAATTGCCGTTCGTGGATTTGCAGCTCGTGAAGGGAATTAGCCGTACAGGTACCGTTCGGGAGTTTGGAGTGTTCCCTGACTGGCGGTTCGCATGGTTTTATTATACCCGCTACCCGACCACATTATTGCGAACAGGGAATACTCGCTAAACGGCGGTTTGTACATTTCAGTACTGGAGGTACCGTAACAGATATTAAAACACATAAAAACCTCATGTAACGCATAATATATGCTGTATAGACATGGTTAATGTACATGAATAATAAAAACGAGGGTTAAAAATACTTAAATTTAGCGATTTAAAATTGACACGTGACGCGCGGCACTTCCGGTTTTCGGACACATTGCCGCAAAGCCTCATGGGAGGTGTAGTTTAGTGGCCGCAAATGCTGGCCATAAATATAAGCAACAGCCATCTTGGAGGGGGCAAAGAATAGTAATAAGTGTGGCCATATTGAGAGGGGCATTATAGGCAAAAGTAGCATATAGTAATTATACACATGTAAATATTAGGATACTATGGGACAATGGGACTATAAAAAGGATATACTCTCTCTATATATATATATATAAATAGTATGCCATTAAAATAAGGATAAAAAAAAGATAAAATAAAATATAAAATATAAAAATGTAATACATAACATATAAAATATATAATATATAATACATAATATATAATACATAATATATAATATACATAAAAACAATATGGAAAAACAACAGGATAAAAGGCATGTGTATAATACAGACATATTGGTTATCTATTGGTTATAGAAAATTATAAAGATCAAAATCTGCATTGAGGCCATGGGGTATAAGAGTCTTAAGATTATACACCCATTCCATTTCTATTTTTCCAAGTAGTTTTTTTATGTCTCCTCCACGCCAGGGGGTAGAACATTTTTTTATGCCCATACATTTTAATAATTTTGGGTCTTTGTTGTGCTTAATAAAATGTTTGCATACTGTATGATTTACGTATCCATTTTTAATATTTCTGCAATGTTCACTCAATCTAGTTTTTAAGCACCTTGTGGTCATCCCCACATATTGGAGACCACATGGGCATTCGAGCAGATAAATAACATTTTTTGTGTTGCAGCCGATAAAATCATAAATGTTATACATTTTATTAGTCCTATTGGACATAAACTGAGTGACCTTAGCTGGAGTGGACGAATCTGTAGTTCTACACACTATACATTGTTTACATTTGTAAAAGCCTTTTATCTGAGGGAAAAAAGAGAAATTATTAACAGGGGATACACGGGTAAAATTGGTAGTTAAAATGGATTTAAAATTGGGGGCACCTCTAAAAACAATATTTGGCTGATGAGGTAAAATTGGATTAAGAATATCGTCTTCTTTGAGTATGTGCCAGTGTTTTTTATTATTTTTTTTAACTTTGTTACTTTTGTTGTTAAAATTAAAAATAACAGGAAGGGATATTGCTTCTATCTTTTTTTTTTTTCTATCCATAAATGTATTTTTTAAAATATTAGCTTGTTCATTAAAATCTGTTACTTCTGAACAATTCCTACGAAGACGTAGGAATTGGCTTTTGGGGGCACTCTCAAGTCAGGGCTTGTAGTGACAACTGGTTTTATCAATAGCCGTGTTAACACATACCTTTTTAAAAAATGTTTTTGTGTGGAGTTGTCCTTCCTTAATAAAAATATTAAGGTCTAAAAAGTTTATAGATTCTTTACTATATTCATGTGTGAGGATAATACCCCTATTGTTAGTATTAAGATCGTTAATAAAAGCAATAAGAGTATCTTCTGGTCCTTCCCAGATAAAAAACAGATAATCTATATATCTAAAATATGAGACTAGGTTCGCCCGCCAGACATGGTTGCCCCAGACAGCTTCAGATTCCCAGTCCGCCATAAATAAATTGGCATAGCTGGGTGCAAACCTAGTACCCATAGCGCTACCCTCTTTTGAAGCTAAAAAGAATCTAAAAACCAAAAATAATGATTTTTTTCAAATTATATTTATTCCTTCTATTATAAAATCAATCTGAATGGCAGGAATATTACCTTCAAGAGTAAGGATCCTTTTAATAGCCTGGCATCCAATATCGTGAGGGATGATTGTATAAAGAGACTGGACGTCACGGGTAACTAATATAAAATTGGGTTTCCAAATAAAATTGTTTAAAAAATGTAAAAGTGACATAGAGTCTTTTAAATAAGATTTCATTAATTTAACTGAAGGTTGAAGGAGGGTGTCTATGTATTGAGAAAGGTGACATAAAAGAGAGCCAATCCTAGAGACAATGGGTCTCCCTGGGGGATGGTTTTCATCTTTGTGGATTTTTGGAAGTAAATAAATAACAGGAGTAATGAGAAATTGTTTGTTTAAAAATTTAAATTCTTGTTTGTTTAAAATATTTATGTTAAGCCCTTTGTTTAAAAAAGTAGATAAAATGATTTGTATGTTTTTTTGTAGGATCAGAGAGAAGTTTTTCATATACATTTTTATCTTCTAGTTGCCTTAGAGCTTCATCAATATACATTTTACTGGATTGTATAACTACTCCGCCACCTTTATCGGCTGATTTTATGACAATATCTTTGTCCTCTTGAAGTTCTTTTATAGCCTTCCTTTCGGCATTAGTTAAATTATTTGCATCATACTTGTTGTATTTGATTTTTTCAAGGTCCTTTTGGACAAATTTTTCAAATAAAATCAAAGGGGCAGATTTACAGTATGATGGATAAAACTTAGATTTTTCTTTAAGATGTGTGTTTATAAAACCATTGACTTGTGGTAAAGGGGTAGAAATTGGTGTGTCGTCTGTTTTGCTAATAAAAAATCTTTTTAATGTGGCTTTGCGAACAAATTTATTTACATCAAGGAAGGCCTGGAAAGGACTAAAAGAGGAAGTAGGGGCAAATTTAAGACCCTTACTTAAAACAGATAATTGAGCAGCTGATAAAACTTCTTGTGATAGGTTAAAAATACCACTGCAGGGATCTTGGGAAGATATTATTGTCTTTCTAGTCTTTCCCTTTTGTTCCCGTCTTCCACTTCGTCTTCCTCTAAACTTAAAATTCGTTTTTGGGAACGTGACGGATGTGGTGTCTGGGCTAGTGCGGGTTTGTGGGTACGTATTTCTAAAAAATGGTCCTCGTTATCGAAATCAGAATCTACTGACAGTAACTGATATCTGTTGGAGTGGTTAGGAATAGGAGGTGATTTGGAATAGTTAGAATATTTGTGATAGTCATTAGTGTATCGTGATCTTTGAGGTTTGGGTGAAAATTTAGGACCAGAGGAATAGTGATATTTAGGGGATTGAGGTACAGGATTGTGAGTGTAGTGAAATGATTTCTTTTGTTTATATGAAGGTAATTGATTGGTGATGGTGGTGGGATACAATAATTTGGATGAGACATGGTGATACTGAGCTGGGTTTTTGGTGGGTCTCACTATGGAGGGAGATTGATAGTGAGATTTCCGTGACACAAAATTGTGATATTTGGAAGGTGGTTGGTTGTTGTTGTAGGAGTGAGTGTGGGCATATTGGTGATCATAATAGTTGGTTTTGGAGGAATAATTATCAGAAGTGTACTTCTTTTTGAGGTGGTAAGTCCTAACTTGTTTGTTGGAATAATCAGTTTTATCTCTGATGTATTTTTTGATTTTAATATGTTTAGTATCTACTTCAACTTTTTCGATTTTATTCTGAATGAGAATACAATTTTGTTTATATGCCTTTGTATCTGTAAAAGGTAAAAGTTTCTCTCTAAGTTCATTTATTTCAATGTCTAAAATAGACAATTTTTTACTTTTTTTTTTTATAATTAAGGTTTCCATCAAACCAAAAGTGCATAATTCTAATTTGTTGTTCCATTCCTCCATAAATTCGAGATCATCTTGATCTGAGGTAGGTAGTTTTAAAAGTCTTAAGCCACGGGGGGTAATTTGCTCATCTATATATTTTTTAAAAGTGGCAAAAAGTGGCAAACTGCCTGTTAGTTAACCAGCGCTGTCTCTATTTTATATTTTCTCTATTATGACTCATATTCCCTCTTGAGATAGCTGCTTTTTAACTAAGCCAATATGTCTATCTTTGAATTTAGGAACAAATATACAATTGATGTAAATAATGTATTCAATACAGAAGTAATTAATTCTATTCAAACAATACCTCATAATTCTAACCAACAAGAACTGTTTATTAAGCTAGAAAAAGCACTTGCTACAGAAATTAAGCTCAAATGGGAAATTGCCACTTTTTTTACCACAAATGGTAAATTGCCTTTACCACAAGTCAATGGTTTTATAAACACACATCTTAAAGAAAAATCTAAGTTTTATCCATCATACTGTAAATCTGCCCCTTTGATTTTATTTGAAAAATTTGTCCAAAAGGACCTTGAAAAAATCAAATACAACAAGTATGATGCAAATAATTTAACTAATGCTGAAAGGAAGGCTATAAAAGAACTTCAAGAGGACAAAGATATTGTCATAAAATCAGCCGATAAAGGTGGCGGAGTCCACATCTTAAAGAAAAATCTAAGTTTTATCCATCATACTGTAAATCTGCCCCTTTGATTTTATTTGAAAAATTTGTCCAAAAGGACCTTGAAAAAATCAAATACAACAAGTATGATGCAAATAATTTAACTAATGCTGAAAGGAAGGCTATAAAAGAACTTCAAGAGGACAAAGATATTGTCATAAAATCAGCCGATAAAGGTGGCGGAGTAGTTATACAATCCAGTAAAATGTATATTGATGAAGCTCTAAGGCAACTAGAAGATAAAAATGTATATAAAAAACTTCTCTCTGATCCTACAAAAAAATATACAAATCATTTTATCTACTTTTTTAAACAAAGGGCTTAACATAAATATTTTAAACAAACAAGAATTTAAATTTTTAAACAAAGAATTTCCCATTACTCCTGTTATTTATTTCCTTCCAAAAATCCACAAAGATGAAAACCATCCCCCCAAGGAGACCCATTGTCTCTGGGATTGGCTCTCTTTTATGTCACCTTTCTCAATACACAGACACCCTCCTTCAACCTTCAGTTAAATTAATGAAATCTTATTTAAAAGACTCTATGTCACTTTTACATTTTTTAAACAATTTTATTTGTAAACCCAATTTTATATTAGTTACCCGTGACGTCCAGTCTCTTTATACAATCATCCCTCACGATATTGGATGCCAGGCTATTAAAAGGATCCTTACTCTTGAAGGTAATATTCCTGCCATTCAGATTGATTTTATAATAGAAGGAATAAATATAATTTGAAAAAAATAATTATTTTTGGTTTTTAGATTCTTTTTAGCTTCAAAAGAGGGGTAGCGCTATGGGTACTAGGTTTGCACCCAGCTATGCCAATTTATTTATGGCGGACTGGGAATCTGAAGCTGTCTGGGGCAACCATGTCTGGCGGGCGAACCTAGTCTCATATTTTAGATATATAGATGATCTGTTTTTTATCTGGGAAGGACCAGAAGATACTCTTATTGCTTTTATTAACGATCTTAATACTAACAATAGGCGTATTATCCTCACACATGAATATAGTAAAGAATCTATAAACTTTTTAGACCTTAATATTTTTATTAAGGAAGGACAACTCCACACAAAAACATTTTTTAAAAAGGTATGTGTTAACACGGCTATTGATAAAACCAGTTGTCACTACAAGCCCTGGCTTGAGAGTGCCCCCAAAAGCCAATTCCTACGTCTTCGTAGGAATTGTTCAGAAGTAACAGATTTTAATGAACAAGCTAATATTTTAAAAAATAAATTTATGGAAAAAAGATATTTAGAGTCAGATCTTAATAATACAATTAATACAGTCAAAGAAAAAGAACGTAAAGATCTTCTGGTTTACAAAAATAAAGAAAAAGATGAAGCAATATCCCTTCCTGTTATTTTTAATTTTAACAACAAAAGTAACAAAGTTAAAAAAATAATAAAAAACACTGGCACATATTCAAAGAAGACGATATTCTTAATCCAATTTTACCTCATCAGCCAAATATTGTTTTTAGAGGTGCCCCCAATTTTAAATCCATTTTAACTACCAATTTTACCCATGTATCCCCTGTTAATAATTTCTATTTTTTCCCTCAGATAAAAGGCTTTTACAAATGTAAACAATGTATAGTGTGTAGAACTACAGATTCGTCCACTCCATCTAAGGTCACTCAGTTTATGTCCAATAGGACTAATAAAGTGTATAACATTTATGATTTTATCGGCTGCAACACAAAAAATTTTTATTTATCTGCTCGAATGCCCATGTGGTCTCCAATATGTGGGGATGACCACAAGGTGCTTAAAAACTAGATTGAGCGAACATTGCAGAAATATTAAAAATGGATACGTAAATCATACAGTATCCAAACATTTTATTAAGCACAACAAAGACCCAAAATTATTAAAATGTATGGGCATAAAAAAATGTTCTACCCCCTGGCGTGGAGGAGACATAAAAAAAGTACTTGGAAAAATAGAAATGGAATGGGTGTATAATCTTAAAACTCTTATACCCCATGGCCTCAATGCAGATTTTGATCTTCATAATTTTCTGTAACCACTAGATAACCAATATGTCTGTATTATACACATGCCTTTTATCCTGTTGTTTTTCCATATTGTTTTTATGTATATTATATATTATGTATTATATATTATATATGTTATATGTTATGTATTACATTTTTATATATTTTATATTTTATATTTTCTGTTATCTTTTTTCATCCTTATTTTAATGGCATACTATTTATATATATAGAGTATATCCTTTTTGTAGTCCCATTGTCCCATAGTATCCTAATATTTACATGTGTATAATTACTATATGCTACTTTTGCCTATAATGCCCCTCTCAATATGGCCACACTTATTACTATTCTTTGCCCCCTCCAAGATGGCTGTTGCTTATATTTATGGCCAGCATTTGCGGCCACTAAACTACACCTCCCATGAGGCTTTGCGGCAATGTGTCCGAAAACCGGAAGTGCCGCGCGTCACGTGTCAATTTTAAATCGCTAAATTTAAGTATTTTTAACCCTCGTTTTTATTATTCGTGTACATTAACCATGTCTATACAGCATATATTATGCATTACATGAGGTTTTTATGTGTTTTAATATCGCCATAAAAATCTGAATTCTAATTGGACGGATCAATTTTGGCGCCAAATCTGAATCACCCACACTCCTATATAATTCAAACTAAGCCAGGTATTGTATGCTATTCCATTTTGATAAAGTCTGTTGATGAAACGCGTTATGGATATGTTATATTGTGTATTTTAATATTAAAAGTAATTTTTGGTTATTCATTTGCTCCAAATTTGCTCCAAATTTTCTTTTTTATAGTTTTATATACACATTCTCTTACCTGGCTTTTTATTATTATTCTATTATTTTTTTGTATTTTATTTATTACTATTTTATTCACTCCTCTTTTGGATTTTTAACCATTTGGGGATCAATCCACCTATGCTGATACACAAGAGCAGCTGGTCTGCTCCTCATTTGTAAGTACGTTTTTATCTATTTATATTAAGACTACTATACAGTGAGCACTATCGGCTGTCTTTTCTTTTTCGTATTTGAGAGTTGGACACCACTGACGGAGAGATACCCACGACATATCCTACAAGCGGGGATTATACCGCTGCATGCACTTTTATCCTAGAGCTGGACATAAGCTCTACCAAATTTGAGTTCTCTACTATAAACTCTAAGTACGTCACTATTGGAATTATACAATACTGCACTATTGGTCGTCCCTCTCTCTCTTTTTTGTCTTCTACATAAGTGGAACTAATACAGTCTATGAAGACTCCACTATTGCACTTTCTGTTATAAAGATCACCCGTAAGGACACTCAAGTTGGATTCTCATTTTTATATTGGACTTTTTATTGTATTTTTATTTTCATTGTGACGCAGCCTTTTTTTATTGTTGTTTTAACCTGTCTTGTTTTAAAAGGGTTTGGAGGGTTCCCCTTTTTTAAGGTTGCTGCCTGTTAGTTAACCAGCGCTGTCTCTATTTTATATTTTCTGTATATATATATATATATATATATATATATACGTATATATATATATATATATATATATAATATATGTGTATATATATCTATTATATATAATATATATTATATATATGTACCGTCATTCTAAGTGTATTTTAATACTAATATATGTACTTATATTAGTATTAAAATACACTTTGTATGACGTTACATATATTTAATATGTATATATATTATATATATAATATATATGCATATATTATATATTTATATATATAAAAATACATTTCTATTTTATTTTTAAAAATGTTTAATAATTTTTTTTTTACTTTCCTACCAGCAGGGGGACTGTCTGACATTTCAGACAGCCCCCCTGCTGGCAGATCCACAGCCAGCTATAGGGGGCCATGTGATAGCTCTTTGAGAGCGATTACATGGCCCCCGGGGGCTTCTTTTGCCATGGGAGGGCTGCCTGGGCTGTCAGGCAGTCCTCCTGAAGCGAAGCGCCAGGAAGGTAAGTATCCCGGGCGCTCTGGGGGCTGCAGCCGTTACGGCGTTCTATGCCGCCGCAACGGCTTTAAAGCCCTTTTAAATGGGGACGGCATAGAACGCCGTAACAGCGTTAATGGGTTAAGATCTCTTTTCAGTACTTTGATTTGTAGGTCCTTGATTGAGTGGCCAGGCTGAGTAAAATGGTGTCCCACAGGAGTGCAGTAGGATACTTCTTTGTGGTGTTTAATGGAGTGTCAATACATATACATATATATGGGTCTGTATATGTGTAGGCACATTGAAGTGGTGCTTGGGAAGCAAAAACCAAAAAGGTTATGGTAGGGAAAACAGTTGTGATTGAAAACCCCTTCCACCTGAAGTCTGTGGAGAGTTAATACAATGTTAAACAAAAATTGTGATTCTTTGTTAAACTAATTTGAATATGCCCACCCAGAATCCTTTGCGGTAGTAACATCACTGCGCATTTGTGATTTCTGTGGGAAAAGCAAGTCTTATAACTGGACTGATGTGCAGATTTTCGTTAACATTGTATTAACTATCCACAGGCTTCAGGTGGAAGGGGTTTCCCAAGCACCACCAAGCCACAATAGCAAACCAGTAACCTTAAGCTGAACTCAAAGATCTAAGACTTTTTCTATGTACACAAAAGGCCTATTTCTCTCAAATATTGTTCACAAATCTGTCTAAATCTGTGTTAGTGAGCACTTCTCCTTTGCCAAGATAATCCACCCACCTCACAGGTTTGGCATATCAAGATGCTGATTAGACAGCATGATTATTGCACAGGTGTGCCTTCGGCTCGCCACAATGAAAGGCCACTCTAGAATGTGCAGTTTTACTGTGTAGCTGGGTCTGGGGGTCCAAAACCAGTCAATTTCTGGTGTGACCACCATTTGCCTCACGCAGTGCAACACATCTCCTTCGCATAGAGTCGATCAGGTTGTTGATTGTTGCCTGTGGAATGTTGGTCCACTCCTCTTCAATGGCTGTGCGAAGTTGCAGGATATTGGCAGGACCAGGAATATGCTGTTGTATACGCCGATCCACAGCATCCCAAACATGCTAAATGGGTGACACCACTTGGTTCTTGGTGATGGTCTTGTAGCCTATTCCAGCGTTGTGTAGGTCTACAATATTTTCCCTGACATCCTTGGACAGCTCTTTGGTCTTGGAAATGGTGGAGAGTTTGGAATCTGATGGATTAATTGCTTCTGTGGACATGTGTTTATACCTATCTTTAAGAGAGTGCTCCTAATCACATATAAGTACATAGCTGAAAAGAGACTTGCATCCATCAAGTTCAGCCTTCCTCACATTTGTTTTTTGCTGTTGATCCAAAAATCTCAGTTTGTTACCTGTATAAAAGACACCAAGGAGTCAGAAATCTTGCTGATTGATAAGGGATACTTATTTCACTCATTGACAGGCAAATCAATTTATAACTTTTGTGACATGCATTTTTCTGGATTTTTTTTTTTTTTTTGTTATTCTGTCTCTCACTGTTAAAATACACCTACCATTAAAATTATAGACTGCACCCTACCCTTGAAAAGTGTACAGAAGGATCAGCACTTAAAAACTTAAATAAACGCAGCACACCTAAAGGATAGGGCTCCCTCACAGGCCCTATAGTTATATAGGTATAAAGAAGTAGAAAAAAGGTGGCACCACAGAGATAATATGTACAATTAAATATAAGCAAGTAATAATATAGAAATAAACAATGATATATAATACAGAGAGAGAGAACAATAAAACATAATAGGTATGTATATATAGTATAGTTTATATATATAAAGAACAGTCCAAAAAGAGTCCAATAAAACCTTGGGATGAGAAAACAATCACAGTTCTATCTGAGGTAGAGACGTCTATGGAGTAGTGGGATCAGGGGGTTCATGGGATCTGTATAAAAGAGAAGAAAAGAAAACTAATAGTGCAATAAAACCCAAATAGGTTGCAGCCAATAAAAAAGGTCTATATGGTCTTACTCACGTTTTTGAGAGCTAAAAACTAGCTCTAGTATAAACAGCGTACAGTGTAATCCCCACTTATGGGATGCATAAGGGAGTGTTGTAAGTAGATATCTCGTCAGATGGGGACCATATGTAACATAAAAAACAACAATAGTGCTCACTGTGATAAAACCAGGAGAGTGTATAAAAATACCAAATGGTTACTCACATTTAATTGGGCAGATGCACTGCTTAATGATAGGGCGTAAGTTGTATAATCAACACCAAGGATGCTTTGGAGTAGTATTTCTCTGAAACAAGTAAAACTCAGATGCCAGGTAATAAAATAATAATAATGGTAAAAAAGATAAAATGGCTAACTCACAACAAAAAACCTGGCCAAAATACCTTTATTAAAATACAGTTAGTTACAATTTCCACAACGCATTTCTCCCCTTAGGGCTTTAATTGTACATATTATCTCTGTGGCGCCACCTTTTTCTACTTCTTTGCACCCTACCCTTCCCTTTCTTCTTTCTTTATCCTACCCAACCACCTAAGTTGTTACGAAGGTGCCACACCATTTGATTGATGATAAGTTGTTGCCTAGCTAAACATCCCTGTAATAGCAAGACATGTCGCTTATCTGGAAATATACGCAGTTCAGTGAAACCGTTGATCATTGTGATGTGGTATCTTACCTATGCTAACATTGAAAAATAGAATGTGACGGCAGATAAGAACCATCTAGTCTGCCCACTTTTCTAAATAATTTAATTAGTCCTTGGCCTTATCTTATAGCTAGGATAGATTTATGCCTATCCCATGCATGCTTAAAGGGACAACGTAGGCTCTGTATCTGCTTCATCTCATTAAACTGGTTATAGTGTCTGGAGTCCCCTGGTACCATCATTTCTTTCAGCATTAAATAGTTTTTAATGTTGTAATGTTTTAATGCTAAACAAGAGTCCACGGCAGTCTATCCCCTCTGTGCTGCTTTGGCTAATAAGGAAGTATTACCCTGAGAGGCAATGGGCAGCTGTGATTGGCTGAGAGTGTCAGCTGACTGCTTTTAACCTGTCAGAGCTCCAACTGACGGTATGAATGGGTATGACAACAAGGAAGTGTGTAATCTCTGCCTTAGCTACACATACAGAAGGGGCCGGCCTGTGGGTGGCCAGGGACTCTTATTTTGTGGCATACTGCACAAACATGGTGCAACACTGAATGGAGAGACAGTGCCAGGCCACTCCAGGCACTATGACCAATTCAAAGAGACAAAGTGGTTATAGTGACTACAGTGTTCCTTTAAACTCCTTTACTGTGTTAACCTCTTGTGGCGTGACCGCTGCCTATTAGTGAATTGCTATGTGTTATGCCCACGATTTTCCCTTGGATTATACGTCTCTAATACGACCAACATTACAAGATTTGTGTGAAGCAAGAGGGATAACTCCTGGCAGTTGTAACAAGGCAGAATTGACACTCATGGAAAACAACCTTACACGCAATGAGGCAGCTACCCTCCAGCTAGGGGCCGGAGAAGAGGATGAAGTACACAAGGAGATGGCCCGGTGACTGACATATTACAAAGAGCCACCCTCAGAGGAATCCATGAATAGGATTTTTTTCTGAGGTGCAAGCCTATGTCCTTGCCAAGAGGAATAGGGCAACCTCCACAAACCCAGATGAAAGAAGGGCAGAGGAGAGGTCACCAGGAAGCACAGCAGCTCTGGCCCACAAACTACTGTACAACGCTTTCAAAGAATTAATGGGAGTAGAGGAAGGCATTGACGACTTCCTACAAGACTTTGAGCACCAGTGCCTGCTACAAGCAGTCGACCCCACTGACTAGGTCACCATCCTGGCTAGCAAGTTCCCGGAGGACAAGATCCGGGACTTTGCCTTCATCAAAAGGATCCTACTGGCCAGGAATGCGGTCACCTCCGAGCATTAGTGCCGAAAGTTCAGGGAGACCAGGAAAGGGGAAAAGGACTCCCATTCGGAATGTGCATGCCGCATTACACGAGGGCCACCCAGAACTGGCTCAATTCCCAACAAGCCAAGTGTCGGAGGAGATCACCAAGCTCTTCCTGCTGGAACACTTTTATAATGGGCTCCCCAATGAAGTACAAGAATGGGTTAGAGACAGACAGTCCAAGACCATTACCGAGGTAGCGCAGCAGGCCGATGAATATGTCGATACCCGCCGGCCCCAGCGCCCAGCTGCCCCTGTTCCCCACCGATCTCCCCTATGCCCCACAGCCAAAGAGGATGAGGGCCCAACCAGCATCACCATGTTTCCACTGCCAATAGCCTGGCCACTACAAGAAGGAATGCCCCCAGCTGAATAACACCCGCTGGCTTTGCCCCGTGGTCCGACAACCCCAAGGGCCGCTGCACACTCCTACCAGGCTGTCCCCACGAGTTACATATTCCCCAGTGAAGATGCCTACCCCGTCCTACATGAGGCCAACCCCATTTAGGCTGCCCACGGCAACAGGGCACACCCCCGACATCCCGTCAAGTTGAACGGACGTGAGGTCCCGGGGCCACTCTGACTCTCGTCCAAAGCCAGCTTGTCGCTGAAGCTGACCAGAATGGAGGAACAGTAGCTGTCCAAGTGGCCGTGGGCAATGTCTACAACCTGCCCACCGCCTATGTCCACCTTGATTGGGGCACCGGAGACCGGCAAGTAGAAGTAGGACTCATGGACCAGCTCCCTGCTGAGGTGCTACTCGGCAATGACCTAGGACCCCTCATCTCCACCTTCGTGCCCACTCACACTTGCTCAGGTAGGCACACGTACCCCTTCCCATACCCCAAGGTCCTATAGACGGCACTATAGAGGAGCCCCCCGTGTCTGTCCCCCTTCCACTAGGCGCCATTCCTGTCCCTACACTCAGGCCACCCGTATTACCTGGCCACAGAACCCCGGGATCCTATCCCTACCTCGGTCCCATCCCCTGGGATACCCCAGTGGACATTGAGAGGGAGGTAACATCTGACCCGACCTGACCCTATAGGGTCTTAAAGACACGGGGGAGGTAGGGAAAAAGGGGGAGTGGTACCCCTGGGAGGGGGGGTGGTTATACCACATAGCCTAGAAAAAAAAAACGATGCTACAGCTCCTACTACCACCAAGCAGTTGGTGGCACCCAAGAAATATCGGTGTGAGCTGCTGAGATAGCTCACGATATCCCCTTGGCAGCGCATTTGGGAAGGAGTCGTATGGCATTTCAACTTACCCAAAGCTTCTTCTGGCCAGGCATCTCCAAGGATTTGAGGCAATACTGCCAGACCTGCGATGTCTGCCAGAGAGTGGGGGGACCATTGGGACCGATACAAGGCCCTGCTCCATTCGGCAGAGTAGCTGTCAATATCATAGGTCCCCTAGCTAAGCCTTTGGAAGAAGTACATTCTCACCCTCGAGGACTACACAACTTGGTATCCCAAGGCAGTAGCCCTGAGCAATAATCGGGCAGAGACTGTGGCTGAAGCCCTGATGCAAGTGTTCTCCTGGATGGGTTTTCCCCAGGAGATACTCTCGGACCAGGGCATCTAACTTACTGCCAAAATGACCCACCAACTGTGGAAGTTATACGGCATTAAACTGATTCTGAGCTCCCCTTACCACCCCTAGACCAATGGCCTGTGCAAGCGCTTCAATGGTACGTTGAAGCAAATTCTCAGTACCTTTGAAGCAACTCAAAAGGATTGGGAAAAATTCCTGCCCTATCTCACTTGAAAAAGCCTAATAGGGCGAAACGCATTGTGATTTTCTCATTATTTGTTTAAATAAAAGCAAGATTTATAGACTACCTATTTGTTTGGGGCAGTATTTTATACAATTTAATTTTATTTTTACCTGGTGCAACCTATTTCCCATACACATCAGGTCCATCATCAAAAGTATCCTAGGTGGAGATTGTTCCACCCACGCTGTTACCATAGAGCGATTTGTCTGCTCTCAAAATTGTAAGTACATTAATTTTACTATTACATATTTGCAAATATGGAGAGCACTATGAGCTTTCTTTTTCTTTAATTGCATATAAACTACACTACAACTACCGTCTAAGGGATATCCTACAAGTGGGGAGTTGAAATACCACTGTATGCTGTTTTACCGAGAGCTGGTTATAGCTCAGAAAAACGTGAGTTGGCAATGACTATAGTCCAGAGACTTACAATACTGCACTATTGGTCTCCTATTTTCTTTTTTTTGCATATGTCATTTATGTGTGATACCACTCCGGAGACATTTTATTCAACATTTGAAGACTTTTAAAACCTCAAAAGGACATTTTTATCTTTTACTTGGTACATTTTTTATTTTGTTTTGTTTTTTTGATTACTTACCACAATATTGTATTTATTTTTGTTATATTTATCCTTGAAGGTTTTGAGGGTTACCTTCCAATTCAGGTGAGCAGCCTGATCAGTTATTGTAGCGCTGTTCCACCCTTGCTTTTTGTGTTCTATCCCATTTACTTATTTGTCTTTACTTTTGACAGTTGAAATAGAACCTCTTCCTCTGTAAACTCACATTATTATTATTATTATTTTATTATTTATATAGCGCCAACAAATTCCGTAGCGCTGTACAATGGGTGGACTAACAGACACATAATTGAGATCAGACCACTGACGTACAGGAACAGAGGGGTTTGAGGGCCCTGCTCGATGAGCTTACATGCTAGAGGGAGTGGGGTATAGTGACACATGTAACAAATTACTCATTTGTCCTTTTCCATAACTGATGCCCCTTTACTGCATTTTCATCTGTACAGTGCCTTGCAAAAGTAATCACCCCCTCGACTTTTTACCCATTTTGTAACATTACAGCCTTAAGTTCAGTGTTTTAGTAATCTGAATTTTATGTGATGGATCAGAACACAATAGTCTAAGTTGGTGAAGTGAAATGAGTAAAAAATTTACCTATATACATAAAACTATTTTTTAGAAATAGAAAACAGAAAATTGGCATGTATGTATATATTCACGCCCTTTGTTATGAAGCCCATAAAAAGCTCTGTTGTAACCAATTACCTTCAGGAGTGGCGGGTGGGGGCCCTAAATTGGAATAAGCTTTTTTTTTCTTTAATTGCATATAAACTACACTACAACTACCGTCTGAGGGATATCCTACAAGTGGGGAGTTGAAATACCACTGTATGCTGTTTTACCGAGAGCTGGTTATAGCTCAGAAAAACGTGAGTTGGCAATGTCTGTAGTCCAGAGACTTACAATACTGCACTATTGGTCTCCTATTTTCTTTTTTTGCATATGCCATTTATGTGTGATACCACTCCGGAGACATTTTATTCAATATTTGAAGACTTTTAAAACCTCAAAAGGACATTTTTATCTTTTACTTGGTACATTTTTTATTTTGTTTTGTTTTTTTGATTACCTAATATCCTCCCCCTGGCCCCCACCCCTGAGCAGCAGGTGGGGGCCCAAAATACTAATCAGGCGGGGAACCTAATGTCCCTCCCCCCGGCCCTCACCCCTGAGCGGCGGGTGGGGGCCCTAAATATTAATAAGGGGGGGACCTAATGTCCTCCCCCCTGGCCCCCATCCCTGAGCGGCGGGTGGGGGCCCTAAACTGGAATAAGGGGGGACCTAATGTTCCCCCCGGCCCCGCACCCCTGAGCGGCAGGTGGGGGCCCTAAGTACTAATCGGGGGGGAACCTAATGTCCTCCCCCCTGGCCCTCACACCTGAGTGGCGGGTGGGGGCCCTAAATATTAATAAGGGGGGGAACCTAATGTCCTCCCTCCTGGCCCCCATCCCTGAGCGGCGGGTGGGGGCCCTAAATTGGAATAAGGGGGGGACCTAATGTCCTCCCCCCGGCCCCCACCCCTGAGCGGCAGGTGGGGGCCCTGAATACTAATCAGGGGGGGAACCTAATGTCCTCACCCCTGAGCGGCGGGTGGGGGCCCTAAATATTAACAGTGAGCAGCCACAGGCAGTACACGAGTAGGGGCATAATTTACTAATACTAAGTAACCTTTACTTAGTATTAGTAAATTTGGCTGAAAGACCAATTTAGGTCTTTCAGCCTTTTAGTAGATAGCTCCCTAATATCATGGAAATTAGGGAGTTATCTACTTATTAATTCCTGTGATTACATTGACTGGTCAAGTAACTTACATTTTATATGAATATATGTTACTTGATTGTTGTAAGTGTTGCAAATGCTTACAACTGAATCCTGGCTATGTTTGTATACTTTTTATTTAAAATTGTATACAAGGTAACATTCTTCTTCTTTCACTGGGTAAGTATATTAGTACTTAGGCAATACTGTGCTTCAGAACTTTGGCAACTTCGGCACTTCAGCACTTTGGAACTTCGACACTTTGGAAATTCGGTAATTTCGGAACTTCGGGACCTCAGAAATTCGGCACTTAGGCAATTCGGACATTCGGAAGTACCCGAATATCCGAATTGCCCGAAATTCCTCTGAATTCACATTCAGACCGAAACGAATTGCACGTCTACTTATAACTTGCTTAGCCTCTTTCTGCCTAATCTTATAGATCTGTCTATCTTCCTCACTTTTTTTTTTATAATTACTAAATGCTAACTTTTTGATTTTTTACTTTTTTGGCCACGTCTGCAGAGTACCACAGTGGTTTCCTAATTTTTTTGCTTTTACTGACAAACCTAATGCAATTTTCTGTTGCCTTCAGCAGTGCAACTTTTAAATAATCTCTTGGACTCCTTTTAAATTGATCCAGTCTGATAATGACTCCTTTACACATATTCTAATTTTAGAAAAGTCTGTTTTTCTAAAGTCTAAAACTTTTGTTTTTGTGTGCTGTGACTCAGCCACTGTTTGTATATTAAACCACACTGACTGATGATCACAGGATCCTAAACTTTCACCTACAGTAATATCTGATACCAAATCTCCATTTGTTAACACGAAATCTAGTATGGCCTCTTTACGAGCTGGCTCCTCAACGACTTGTTTTAGAGACAATCCCAGTAGGGAGTTTAGAATATGTGGGAAATGTGTAGGACCCATAGGAACAGAACACATTAAAGGACCACTCTAGGCACCCAGACCACTTCAGCTTAATGAAGTGGTCTGGGTGCCAGGTCCCTCTTGGATTAACCCTTTTTTTTTATAAACATAGCAGTTTCAGAGAAACTGCTATGTTTATAATAGGGTTAATCCAGCCTCTAGAGGCGTTTGCGTGCTTCTCACTGTGAAAATCACAGTGAGAAGATGCAAGCGTCCATAAGAAAGCATTATGAATGCTTTCCTATGAGACAGGCTTAATGCGCGCGCAGCTCCTGCCGCGCATGCGCATTCAGCCGAAGAGGAGGAGGAGAGCTCCCCGCCCGGCGCTGGAAAAAAGGTAAGATTTAACCCTTTCCTCTCCCCAGAGCCCGGCGGGAGGGGAACCCCGAGGGTGGGGGCACCTATAGTGGCACTATAGTGGTCCTTTAAGGGTTAACTACCCCCTTTATCACAGCCAGCTTGGAGTAGTTTGCTGTGCTGAATGCAAGGACAGGATTGGTTAAAGGCAGAAAGCAAGTAGGAGCAGCAAAGGTAAGAAAAGGAAAGGTTTAGGATGATGATTGTGACGAGACCAATCTCGCCACATTGCATTGAAGAAGCCTGGTTGCTCGCCTGTTGCCTTTGGATTATGGCCCCATGTTAAAAGGCTTGATTTTCCCCTGCAAAGACATGAAAGCCGGGTCATTTGGTGCTTGCCCTGTTTGAGCGGTGATACCCCAGATAGCTATGCCATGAAGCCCATTCGTATAATGAAAGACTATGGGAAAGACTTTGGCTCCATGGCAATTGAACTGTATGTGTGTGCTCTGAGTGCCATTCAGTAATAATGTGCGCTCAGATCTGAGCTATCTGGGGATATGTTGAATGTACCTGTTTTGTGCAATGGCTGCACAGTTATATGTTTTTGTGTGTTTTATTGTCTTTTGCTGCCATGTGTTTAATGGAGTTTTGCCTCTGTACTTGGAGATAATTGGGTTACTTCCCAATTATCTCCAGGATAGAAGATTCTGTGGAACTGGTTTTGGGCAGAAAAGCCATGGTTCCTTTGGTCACAAAGGACTACGATCTATCTTTTGAACCACTGGACCAATTGGTATGATTTTGACGTATGTTTGTATTTGGAGTATGCTGATTCTGAAAATGTAAGTATATGTGAATGTGATGCATACTTTTCAAGTTATGAATAATGTGGAAAAATTGTATTTCTCTGCTTGTTATAATTACATTACCCATTGTGTAAGGTAATTGAATCACAGGCAGTGGTGAATCCTGGTTTTGTGCTGCCCTAGGCAGGACAAAACTCAGGCACCCCCCCCCGCGCTACCCCCACCCACGCAACCGCCACCCAATCCTTCCCCCCTGCTCCGCCTTCTAAATACACACACACACATTCACTGACAGATACGCATTCACTTGCTAACAGAAACACACACTCACTAACAGACACACACACTCACAGGCAAACACACACACACACTAATAGACACACACTAACAGGCAAACACACACACTAACACACACACTTGTGTTTTTTTTTTTTTATTTAACCCCCCCCAGCCTCCTTACCTTTGGGAATGCTGGGGGGGTTCTTCCTCTCCCTGGGGTCCTGTGGCTGCAGGGCGGGCGGCCGGCGAGGGAGCTCTTCCACTGAATGCTCTGCTCAGCTCCCTCGCGCGCCGCCAGCAGAGTGAGGCCGGGAGCCGGAATATGACGTAATATTCCGGCTCCCAGCCTCACTCGGCGGCGCGCGAAGGAGCTGAGCAGAGCGCTCAGGGGAAGAGCTCCCGCGCCAGCTCGGCATGTCGGTTAGCCGTGAGGCTAACAAGGCATTTGCCTTGGGCGGCATTTTTCAGGGGGCGGCAAAAAAGCCGCCCCCAAATGCCCAGGGCAAATGCCTTGTTAGCCTCGCGGCTAAAAGACACGCCGAGCTGCCGCACTGGGCGGGCGGGCGGTGAGGGAGCTCTTCCCCTGAGCGCTCTGCTCAGCTCCCTCACGCGCTGCCGAGGGAGGCTGGGAGCCGGAATATGACGTCATATTCCGGCTCCCGGCCTCACTCTGCTGGCGGCGCGCAAGGGAGCTGAGCAGAGCACTCAGGGGAAGAGCTTCCTCGCCGGCCGGCCATTGGACCCCAGGGAGAGGAAGAACCCCCCAAGCATTCCCAAAGGTAAGGAGGCTGGGGGGGTTAAATAAAAAAACAAAACACAAGTGAGTGTGTTAGTGTGTGTGTGTATGTTAGTGTGTGTGTATGTTAGTGTGTGTGTGAGTCTGTTTGCCTGTTAGTGTGTGTATGTTAGTGTGTGTGTGTCTGTTAGTGAGTGTGTCTGTTAGCTAGTGAATGCGTATCTGTCAGTGTGTGTGTGTGTGTGTGTGTGTGTGTGTATTTAGAAGGCGGAGCAGGGGGGGTGCCTGAGTTTTGTCCTGCCTAGGGCAGCACAAAACCAGGATACACCACTGGGTAAGGGTACATGAATGCGTGGAAAAACAGAAGGGTGATAAGGCAAGAAGAGTTATAAACTATATTCTGAAACATCCCAAACTACAAAATTGAGGCAATAACTTAAAAGGAATAAATATTTCTACTTGGCTATTTTGCAATTCAGATTTTAAATTTTGTACAACTAAATATTTATATATATATATATATATATATATATATATATATATACACACATACATACATACATACATACATACATACACACACACACACACACACACACACACATACATATATATATATATATACACACACACATACACACACACACACACATATATACATAAATAATCTGCCTCATATGTCAAAGTGGAAATGGGAATACTGAAAAAACAGACAAAAAAAAAAACAAGATCAAATGTTGGCTGTGTGTAATGACCAAATCAACTCATGTTATTTGCTTTTACTACAATCACAGGTGTGTTAACCTTGGTTACATACAATAAATGACTCCAATTTGAAGTAATTCTTTACCAAAAAGAGTTATAGGAATAAAGTAAAATCAAGCAGTAGATCCATACATATAACAAGGATAATGCAGTAATTGTGATTGCAACGTGCACAAAATATTGAAGTCACCACCCAAAAAAGATGGATACAAACTTAAAATGGAACATACAGCCCACAATGCAAATTGGGACAGCTCTTGTAACCCTATACGTTCACTGAGTAGCGTGTATTTTGTGAAGGATAAGTCACTCATCTTCAAGGTGAAGTAAGTAAAATCATATAAAAATTATTTAAAATGTTGCCACTCTAAAATTTTTTTAGAAGGAAGCTAATGATGTAGCTAATAATGTAATAAAAAAAAAAAAAAAATTCCCCGCTCACGTGAAAAGAATGTGGAAATACGGAATATCATAATAAAGCCCTGATTACAGATAGTGTTACAACACTATATAAAGAACACTAACAAGGTGTTGGCAAAGTTCTCAGTAGCTGATTAGGTTGCAAGTAATTAATTTTCACCCGATGTGCCAATGGCATCAACATGTTTAGTAATATTAAAAGTGATCCAGGTAAAAAAAAAAAAATTCCAGTTATTAACTTACCAGTCAATTTTAGGTACCAAAGTGCAACAAAAGATGAGAGCATAACATTACTGCTATCCATTAATTACTTGCTATTCACAGAGAACCACAAAAAGCATGTTTATTTATGCGTGATAGATTCAATCAAATTTAATACATGAAAAGAAGTCGTCCCCCTTGTGGAGTATTGCGGAGGACAATGGTCTACTGTTGATGTAATTTTGTATGTTATATTATTGGCAGAAAATGACCCAGACCAAATTGAACAGGGATTTTGCCCAGAGTAGAAATACAGTGAAAGGCAGAGAGCTCTAGAGGGAATAAGAAAGGGAGAAGTTGGCATAGGGAGGGGTGCAGACGCCGCCTGGGAGAAGAAGCCGCTCTCTGCTAACAAGCAACAGATGGTGTGAAGGATGAGAGAAAGAGCGGGGGATGAGGAACAAGCAGGAAAACAAGGCCAGATTTAAAGGGTTTTGTAGGGGAAGACTTGTGGGGAGTGGGGAGAGGCAGAAAAGAAAAGTGAGGGGTGATTATGTAAAAGAATGAAAATGATACAGAGGGGCTATGTGAGTGTGTCAGAATGGCATACATATAGAGCATAGGAGCAAGCACAATTTAAGAATATTAAGATTGCAAATAAAAAGGCAAAAAAAGTATTTAGTCAATAATATGAGATCATAGGGAACATGAATAAGAAACTATATTTTTCCTCATGTGAAGAAAACTTCATATAATATTTTAATGTGGAAGCATTATTTAATTATTTGCGCAAATGTAGACATTTAAAGAATGGTAAATATCACCAGAGAAGTCAGCTTTCTTTCTTAAGCCCTTTTTTTTTTTTTTCCAGAGAGAGATAAAAGGAACAATAACAAGGTCACTGGTACAAAAATAGTTACTTGACACATATCAGAATGATATCTTGTCAAACAAAATCTGTTATCTTTGGGAATCATGAAATGACTCACAAAACAAAAAATAAACCACACACTAAACAGACAAAATAAATAGACAATTCATTTTAATGGAAAAAAAGAAAAAAGAAAAATATGAATAACCAATGGCGTCATAAAGCAAAGAGGAATGAGAAAGTCTCTTCATCTGCCACTGTCCATTCATGCAATTCAGCATAGAGCACTTCTCACATGTCTTCTAGTATACACAATTGTTTTTTTATTTTTTACAATTTCTCTAGGGAGCCACATTACCTATCATTTACAGTTTTAGTGTTTTATGTTTTTAATAGAATTCCATAGTTATAAATAAAGAAATTATACAATAAATCTACAACAAAACCCATCATTCACAGTGAAGCTATGTGATCAACATTTCATATATCCTGCTTTAGAGGTGTAAAAATTAAGAAAATAAAATGGATTCTTAAGGCACTGAGAAGGCAAGTAGCCAGAGGATTTAAAATTGCAATCACACATACTAGCCTGAAACTCATTTAAAGAAGGGTATAGAAAAGGAATATCAAAGTTTGCGAATTGTTAAATGAGAACTATATTTAGAAGTTTTTATTAAATTATGTATAGAAAATAGTTAAATAAACTAGTACAAAAGTGTAGCGAGGGGAAAGAATGAGAAGTAACTCTAGAACAAAATCTGTTACATAGTGATGACACATGAAAGGCAGTACTGAAATATTTATTTGTACAGTTCCATTTATACATCACATTTCTGAACAATTGACAAAAAAATAAATTACATATCAATTTACACACGTGTAAATATTATAGAAAATACTGCAGTAAATATGAAAACACATACATTACAAACCATGAAAGGCAATCTCTGTAAGCTAAAGGTTTAAAACAAGCAATTTACAGAGGATTCTGGAAATTATGTCAAGTTTAGACATCTACCAAAAGCTTTAGAGAATAAATTAAAATCCATTAAAACAGAACAAACAACACATAAACCACGACAATAAGGCACTTTGCTTGCTTGTACAGAAACATATGTTGACTGGCTCAATTAAATCATCTCACAGGCTTAGCTCTCTGGTTTAGTTTACAACAGTTCAAATCTCTGTGCACTAGATAAGGCCATTTCTAAATAAGACCATGTTAAGAGAGCAGACAAACTTTTCCAAGCAAAATATATGTTTATTTTAGGCTTGTGCCTCTGAGTTACCCAGCTGATGAAATCTCCCAGCAAGTCGCCTAGTAGTTCTTCGTAGAGTGAGGGAGGAGACAGGGATCTGAAAGAGTAGAAATGCTGTCAGAATCCCATGTGCAGCCAGTTCAAGAGGGAGTGGTTCTAGACCAGGGTTGAACAGCAAAAAGAGTAGCAGTGGCAGCTGTAACAGAATGCTTAGCAGCCAAAAGCCTGCTATTTCAGGAACCTAAAATGTGGAAACAAAAGAAAATGACAAAGAACACATTAAATAGAAAATGGAAAGTCATATTAGGGAAAAAAATATATTCTTTAATTTATTAAGAGATATTTAGATGAGAATCTGCCCATTCAAACCAGATAATATAGTAACACTTGATATCTTGAAATATTGTACAGGGGGGGCATTTACAGCCAATTCCAATACTCTTGAAAGGAATTAGGCACTGAATTTACAGTAACAGAAAATTAAATGGCAGGAAAGTACATCATATTCCAGCTGGCTCTATAAATCATTCAGGGCTTTGTATGAAGAGAAAATAAGATTCAGGGCCTTTCATGAACCCACTCATGGCTAGCCAGGATCAGTGCCCCCTTAGTTATGTCTCACCCTGCATGTTTCATTATAAAGTGAATTTTACAGAATGTATGTTTCCACCTAGCATAAAAAAAAAATCCAAAATGTGTATTCTGCTACTGTCACAAAATACAGCAATACCCTCCATATGGAGCTTTGTCAGATATTTGAAATGTATAGGGTTCAATTGGAGACATGACCTCATTATGCTATGCCTCTTTGCTTGCTTCCAAACAAACCTTTTGCTTAATATGTGACAAAGTTATGAGTTTTTTTAACAGTCACAGTTTGACGCCAACAAACGCTGGAAAATTCGACTCAGGCAAAGCACCCTACATTCCATCCCGTTCACTTCGGTCAGCCAGCAAATCCTTCCTGTCAGTGCCAAGAATGAACACAGACTCAGGTTCCAGGGCATTCAGCCACGCTGCCCCTACCTTCTGGAACTCTTTACCGGGCGCAATCAGAGAGGCACCATCCTTACAGACTTTAAAAATAAAAAAGTTAAAGACCCACCTCTTCCATCAAGCATTCAGTCCGCTCAGCTGATGCTTGATGGAAACTCTTAACTTTTATGTCTTTATGTTTGTATACTTGTAAAGTGCTTTGAGTCTCACAGGGAGAAATGCGCTATAAAAATGGCAAATTATATATATCACTGGATACCATGCCACAGATGTCAGGGAGCCTATGGGGGTCTATTTCCAGTCTTTGCATGATTTATAGCGTGACAGATAGAAGATCCATGATATTACAAGGTACCACAAGATAATTTATAATAGGAAAATGATACTAGTGACAGTGACCCCTAGTGACTAATTTGGTGTAACACAGGAAGAAGGGCTTAGTTTTGTAATCACATTTTTGTTTGCAAACTGGTTTCAAATGTGCTAGACCAGTGGTCCCCAAACTTTTTAGGTTCAAGGCGCCGTTAATATTTCAATATTTTTCGAAGGCACCCCTAGTCACAATTTCTAAGTTGTGTATCTGTACAGTGCTGTGGCATATAATGGCGCTTTAATGTAATGCATAGTGTTGGTGTTTGAAGGGAAGCTTGTATATAGTTTTAGTGTTTTAATTCAGGGGTGTGTTTGTATGTTGTGCTGGTGTTTGACTGCTTGGATGTGTGCACATACACTACCACATACATACTTACAAGAAAGAGGGGGACAGAGGGGAGAGACTTAAAAGCATGATCTATAGTTTTTTGGTACCTATAGAGTTCCTTTAAGTGTTTCTTCTCCTAATACTATTAAAAGCACACATTTTATCTTATGTTCATTTCCGCATCACCTGCTTAGAACATCGATTGTGTTCTCTGTAGGGCTTACACTTTCTATAATATATGTGTGCTTACCATTGTTTGGGGAGCACAGCCTTGCTTTCTATAACAGATTAGAAGTCCCCTACACTTTATGGTATGAATAAAGAAAACAAAAAAACAAAAAAAAAAAATAAACAAAAAACCTTATCTGTTCTCGCTCACTCTCTCCATTCTCAGATTGCCTAAATTTTCTGCAATAAATCACTCCTGCTGTTTGTCTCCAAGTTGCTGGATTTATTCTCACACAGAACCTGCCACTCCTCCCTTTTCCCTTTGTAGACATTGCTTCCCTTAGGCTGAAGGTAAGCATAAGAAATGCCCAGCAGAGTTTCCATCATAACAGACATGCAGAGTGCAGCCATCTTATCTCTGTGCCAATATGCACAGACTGAATTTACAGAAAGGAGGGGGCGAATACTGTTTTAATCTCTGATTTCAGTGGAATCCAAACATTTGCTAGCATCCTAGATGAAATTTTATTCTCTATCATTTAAAGGGGTACTAGTGTGTCTGGAACGCAAACGTGAATTCCAGACACTAAAGTTCTAAAACTACCAGTTAGACTTACTCACCTTCTTCCAGGGCTGCACGGTTCTCCATGCGTTTGGCATCGCCATCATCAGAATTGATCATCTCAGACAATTACAATGCTTTCCCATACAAAAGCACTGGATTGGCTGAGATAGTCAATTCTGATTAAATCAGCCAAGGAGGTGTGGTGTAAGGCAGAGCCAACCCCACCCTGGCTATTCATCATCTCCTTTTAGATATGCATCGATTCAATGCATCTCTATGCGGAAAGTTCAGCGTGCCCATGCAGAGCGTGAAGACGCTGAACGTTAGGAAACCCAGTGGCCGTCTGAGGAGTTTCTCTGAAAAGGCAGTGCTTACATTAAAAAGCATGCAGGGACTGACTATACTCACTAGAGCAACTACATTAAGCTGTAGTTGTTCTGGTGACTATAGTGTTCCTTTAAGATTAAGTTGTTTTTGTCATGACAGGTACCTCTTAAAATACAAAATTAGTATTATGTGGCACTGGAAAACTGCTCAAAATATGATTTCTTACATGTACCTTTTCTTGAAGGTTTCCACTGTATCCTAGATAAAGTCGAATAACTTCAATGAGAGTCATGAGGATAAGAATAGTCACCAAGATGAACTTATAAAAGTCAGGAAGTAGTCCATACTGTGGAGAAAAGAAAAAAGGGGGGGGGGAGCAAAGGCCCATGTTATTTATATTTACACTGACATTGCCATCACTCCTTAACTATTACACTAGTTTAATTATACCGCTCTCAGTCCTTCAATCCACTGCAAACCCTGTTGAGTTGTAAACATCTACCTTGCTTGTGCAGGTGTTCCCACGACTAAAAGTAACATCTCACATTTTTGCTATCCTTTCCTGATTCATCTAGGCAAATAAACTGTGAGCAGGCATCTCTAATCAGCTGTTATATAGTTGTAGAGGGCAGAGGAATCAAAAAATCCTCAGAATATCAACCCCTACTATCATCTCCACTTCAGCTTCCACGACCACTTCTGCCTCTAGAAGTAGTCATTGAGGAAGAAATCTGAATGTGCAGTGTTTCTGCTCAATGCTGCACATACAGAGATATTTGTGCAGTGGGCTATTTACACCACTGGCACATGTCAATTAAGCAGTTCAGAACTCTGTTCCAAACTGCCTAATGTTAATTGCATGCAAACCGGTGTTTGTTGTCAGACGTAATGAGCTTCTACTATTGCAGCAGCACTGGTAGCGCACCTGCAAGGGGATGCCTATATGTCCTCTCCCTCCTTTCCTTATTTCAGACCTCCCAACCTTCCCCGCCTCCTTGTATTTCTTAATATGGGTACTTTTTTTTACTCAAAAGCTTCATTCTACGGCACTGAAGCATGTCTTGCTAGCTTGCAGAAATTAATTTGTTGTTTTTTGTTGTTTTGTTTTTTACAAAAAGATTTCAGAAGAAATTGGCACTATTACAAATTGTTACACCCCCCTGTTAATCCGATAACTTGTCCTATTACTTCCTGGATGTTAAGCTCAAGAGGCATGCAATAGCTCAAAGCACCTGTCTTGCAAAGACATCTCATTGAATTAGGAAGTCTGTAATTGGACAGCTACAGAAAGTCTGTGCTGGGTTAGAAGAGGAGTGCTTGCAAAGGTTTCAGATAATAGATCTGCAGCTTTTGCATGAAGTTTTTAGAATAACCCCAATGAAAAAAATGCATAATTGAATGCATAATTGAATGCATGCATGTTCTCATTGCAAGTATATCTATTAAAGGAGCACTATAGGGTCAGGAACACAAACATGTATTCCTGACCCTATAGGGTTAAGCCACCATCTAGCCCCCCTATCCCCTTCAAGCCTCCCTAAATATAGCAAAATCGTACTTGTATGCAAGTCTCGAACTGCTAAATTTGTCCCGGTTTCCTTTTGACCTGCCCACTGCCTGGTGACATCAGCAGAAGTGGTAGCCTGATCCAATCAAAATGTTTTCCCATATGATTGGCTGAGACTGACAAGGACGCAGATCAGGGGCAGATACAGCAGAATTCAAACACAGCCCTTGTCAATCAGCATCTCTTCATAGAGATGAATTGAATCAATGAATCTCTATGAGGAAAGTTCAGAGTCTGCATGCAGAGGGTGGAGACACAATGTTTGGATGAATTTAGGCAGCAATGACCCAGGAAGGATCTCTAACAGCAATCTAAGGAGTGGCCAGTGAAGTTATCACTAGGCTGTTATGTAAGCACTGCATTTTCTCTGAAAAGACAGTGTTTACAGCAAAAAGCCTGAAGGTAATGATTCTACTCACCAGAACAAATGCAATAAGCTGTACATTTGGTAAGTAGTGCCCCTCTAACTTACATGGTTTTAGGGATTACAAAAAGGGTGGGGTGCTTAAAGTTATTAGAGCCCAACAGGTAACACAGATGAAAACAAATAAGGTGCTCACTATAACAAAAAAATAATGTAAGGCAGCAAATCTTACAAGAAATCCCAACACCGCAAATCAAAAACAAACAAAAGGAGATAAGCTGCACCTAAATCAATTAGACACCTATGTGAAATGCAACATGCAAAAATACACGCATAATTTCATTATATTGTTCCAAACTAAATGGAGGCAGTACTTCATTATCTAGCACTTATCTATTGTGTTTGTTTCTAGTAATAAAGATGTAATGGCTACATAGCGAATATATTAAAATTTAAAGGTAAACCGACTATAAACCAAAGATACATGTTTATCATTATTTACTTGATTATTCAGCTCCACTTGTGCAGCTTTCATTCTCTGGAATCTTACAGTACCTTTAATTGAAGCATTAAAACGTCACAAATCCACCAGAATGGGAAATAAAATGTATTGAAATACAGCGACATCTGTAGAGGTAAATTGGAGACGAGATCTTCTGAATAGAGAAGAAATGGAAATATTAAGGTGAGACCAAACAGAAAAAACTGACAGGTTTACAGTAGGCATACGTATTTTGTAATTACTGAAATGAGCATGAGCTGACGCTCTCTTGGTTTAGCGGCTACCCTTTCAAAAGCCTCAGACTGCAACTGAATTTCAGGGGCAGAGCTGACTGGCACCATACTTTAGACTTTAGGAGTTAACGCCACTGCCCAAATACAAAAAGATAAACCCTACAGTATTTAGTAGATATATCTCCAATGAAAAAATTAATTCAATAATTCCAAGAGTTCTGCAACTTTTGGAAGCAAGTTTTACGTATACCCCCAATGAAAAAAATAAATGCATAATTAAATGCATGCATGGTTCACAAGGGGTATATCTACTAAACAGAATGTTTAATGTTTTTCAATATGGGCAATGGAGGGCCTCTTTAATTTTAATTGAGTACATATATATCCGATATATATATAATTTCTCAAACAGAAATACAAATTGAATTTGGGGTGGATGAGGAATCACTTAGGTGATTTAAAAAAAAAAGTTAATTCTAGTTAGCAATAGCATATGGTTATAAGGCAAATAGTACAGAAACATGCACTCACATTATACCTTCATATTTATTGTGAAATAATTACTGTATATTTTAGTGGGCTGGAAGTCACGCCAAAATACCGATTAACTTTTTGCACTAGTTTATGTACGCTAAGTTTCACTTCATGCTCATCCAATTGTCGGTGGGGAATACAAGGTAAGCGTATCGCCGCCCAACACCTGGCTATATTAGTCCTCTCATGTACAAAGCCCTAACTTACCGCTGGCGGCGCCGTCATCGCCTTTCTTTGGTACCGTCCGCCTGGCATCACTGAACACATTCCTTGTCAGAGAGTCGAGATGCCGGCGAACGGGCTCGGGCAGAGCCATTTTGTTTCCTAAAACTGTTACTATAGCATGGCGACTATATCAACGCAAGGCACAAGCAGGCTCTGTGTACGAGAGGGCCGCGTCTCCATGGCAACCATGTTGAGGTACAGTTTAGTTCCGGCGCGTTCTCAGAGTGTTTCGCGTGCCCTGTACGTTCACCCTTTCGGATATTCGGATTGGAACGTTTTATCGGTGAGAATGTCAAACAGAAGGTCTCATTACGTACATAGAGAATGTTGGAAAATAAAAAGTACGCGTCCTATGTAAACGTTATTGCAGTAACATATTTCCATTCTGACAGGGATATTTGTTGCGGTGAGGTAATCAGTTAAAGGATTAAATACTCCCGTTGTCACTGAAGGCTGGGTATTGATAGGAAAATGCATAACGTGATGCAAGTGCAAGAAGGTCTGTGGATGATCTCGTTTACATAGATCCCTATGTTGTACTCCATTGAAGTACAATGATTACACTGCCCCCTTGGAGCAAATAATTAACCCATGTGAGTCTACACAAAACAATGCATGGAACCTGCAAGTGACAGTGCAGGAATACTCCAAGCACTATAGCCACTACAGTATGTCAAAGTAGTAATAGTGCCTTGGAACCCTCCAGTGTAAGTAGTCAAATTATTTACTCATGTTTGGACTTCTTACCTGGTATCCCCTGAGGGTCCCTATTTCACTGGAGAACTGGTAACTCACTGCCTGACTTATCCCCTGGAGTGCAGAGCGTGCTCTGTACAGCTTCTCTGCTCTCTAGGGCTTAGCTCAAGAGAGCTAACAGAAGCTCATAGGTGGACGGTGGACCTTTCAGCCTATTATAGAGGAAGTGAGAATAGGAAGGAAGGGTGCGCTCTTTTTCTATTGCACTAGGGTTTTTTGGAGAGAAATTCCCTAATTTAGAGGCGCTACCTCCATATTTTGTTATCTAGCACTGCTCCATCTCCTTTTTTGTTGCATTATAGAGGAAGTGCAGAGGCAGGGAGACACCACTAGAGGAGCCCAGGTAAGTAGAATAACCATTTGATTACTCACATGTGTGTTGTAATAGTTATAGTGGTTAGCCCACCTTATTTGATTGCACATTCCTGTCCTAATGTGTTTTACACCCCACCTCCTATAGAATGTAAGCTCGATTGAGCAGGGTCCTCTTCAACCTATTGTTCCTGTAAGTTTATTTGTAATTGTCCTATTCATAGTTAAATCCCCTTTCATAATATTGTAAAGCGCTACGGAATCTGTTGGCGCTATATAAATGGTGGTGGTAATAATAATAATAATAGTGGTTGGAGTGTTCCTTTAAGGCTAGGGTGGCCATTTAGTCGATCGCGATCTACTAGACGATCTCGGTTGGCTGAGTAGTAGTTTGTAGCGAGCCTTGGTTATGGCCCATGGCTCAAGGCTCTTGAGTGCGTGTTCGGCATGCCAGCACTGCCATGTGCTCTTCCCTCTGTGTGCTACAGATTGTGTGATGCATCACAACCCTGCTCCATCATGGTTCGTCAACAATCAATTACTGGGGCTGGGTAGAGGAAGACCACAGAAAGGAGAGCAGGATAATCATGCATTACTCAGCCATATAGGTTAACACAGTGAAGGTGTTTAAGCATGCGTGGGATAGGCATAGGGCTATCCTAGATATAAGATAAGGCCAGGGACTTATGAAAGTATCTAGAAAATTGGGCAGACTTGATGGGCCTAATGGTTCTTATCTGCCGTCACATTGCAAAGGAGGTAGGATGCAGAGGCATACAGATACATAAAAAAGCCATTTGTTAACTTTATACAAATGGGGAGAGTGATAGAGTGGCCAGCAAGAGGTGCAGACCTCACGCTCCCACACTAGACTACCAGGCAGAGTTAACCCCTACTGGACCTCTAGGAATTCAGGAAACGGGCTGGACCACCAAAGATCATTTCCCCCTCCCTTCTGAAAGCTAGGTATGAGGGCTAAACAGAGCTCACATCACACACAGGGCCAGGTTAAGAGCCTATTGAGACTGGTGCTGACAATTATGATGGGCCTAATTACAGAATCTTATCGACAGAAAACACTAAAACAGTTATACCTCCCAAGCGTCATGTATCTGGTGGAGGTGGTGCTGGAGGGAAACTATCAGAAAACACATACCCTATGCTAATCTCTCGCTTTCATCTTTCACGGAAATCCATACCCCCTAACAGCAGTGTCTGGTGAAGCATGATTTCGGTGGGCGAAGTAAAAGGGTGTGAATCATGTAATTAGAACCACCAAAAGGGACAAACATGCCCAAAAAGGGGGCGTGTCTGCACAAAAAATTAAATGGTCAGCCTGGCGTGAATGCACATCAGGCTGGCTGCCAATCATGAAGGATGACCAACCAAGGGCATATTATGCAGACAGCTTTGCATTAATGTGTCTAATGAACGGTCCCCTATCACTCGCCGGTCCACTCCTCTCATAACCTTCTTACTAGCAGGCAGAAGTTCCTGTTATACAGTCTGGGACAGAGAAAAAGTGTACACTGCCTTGCAAAAGTATTCACCCCCCTATTTTGTTACATTACAGCCTTAATTTCAATGTTTTATTAATCTGAATTTTATGTGATGGATCAAAACACAATAGTCTAAGTTGGTGACGTGAAATGAGAAAAATATATATATAAAACTATTTTTTAGAAATAGAAAACAGAAAATTGTTATGTGCGTATGTATTCACACCCTTTGTTATGAAGCCTATAAAAAGCTCTGGTGCAACCAATTACCTTCAGAAGTCACATAATTAGTGAAATGATGTCAACCTGTGTGCAATCTAAGTGTTATATGATCTGGCATTACATATACACATGTTTTTTGAAAGGCCCCAGAGGCTACAACACCTAAGCAAGAGGCACCACTAACCAAACACTGCCATGAAGACCAAGGAACTCTCCAAACAAGTAAGGGACACTGTTGTTGAGAAGTACAAGTCAGGGTTAGGTTATAAAACAAAATATCCAAATCTTTGATGATCCCCAGGAGCACCATCAAATCTATCATAACCAAATTGAAAGAACATGGCACAACAGCAAACCTGCCAAGAGTAGGCCGCCCACCAAAGCTCACGAACCGGGCAAGGAGGGCATTAATCAGAGAGGCAGCACAGAGACCTAAAGAGACCTAAGGTAATCCTAGAGGAGCTACAGAGTTCCACAGCAGAGACTGGAGCATCTGTACATACGACGACAATAAGCCGTCCGCTCCATAGAGTTGGGCTTTATGGCAAAGTGGCCAGAAGAAAGACATTACTTTCAGCATAAAACAAAATGGCACGTTTTGAGTTTGCAAAAAGGCATGTGGGAGATTCCCAAAATGTATGAAGGAAGGTGCTCTGTTCTGATGAGACTAACATTTAACTTTTCGGCCATCAAAGAAAATGCTATGTCTGGCGCAAACCCAACATATCACACCATCCCCACAGTGAAACATGGTGGTGGCAGCATCATGCTGTGGGGATGTTTTTCAGCAGCCGGGACTGGGAAACTGGTCAGAGTTGAGGGAAAGATGGATGGTGCTAAATACAAGGATAATCTTGAGCAAAACCTGTACCACTCTGTGCGTGATTTGAGGCTAGGATGGAGGTTCACCTTCCAGCAGGACAAACACACTGCTAAAGCAACACTTGAATGGTTTAAGGGGAAACATGTAAATGTGTTGGAATGGCCTAGTCAAAGCCCAGACCTCAATCTAATAGAAAAGCTGTGGTTAGACTTAAAGATTGCTGTTCACAAGCGCAAACCATCCAACTTGAAGGAGCTGGAGCAGTTTTGCAAAGAGGAATGGGCAAAAATCCCAGTGGTAAGATATGGCAAGCTCATAGAGACTTATCCGTAGCGACTTGGAAATGTGATTACCTCAAAAGGTGGCTCTACAAAGTATTGACTTTAGGGGGGGTGAAAAGTTATGCACATTGACTTTTTCTGTTATTTTGTCCTATTTGTTGTTTGCTTCACAATAAAAAAAAAAAATCTTCAAAGTTGTGGGCATGTTCTGTAAATTAAATGATGCAAATACTCAAACAATCCATATTAATTCCAGGTTGTGAGGCAACTAAGCACGAAAAATGCCAAGGGGGTGAATACTTTTGCACGGCACTGTATGTAGTGAGTGTAGAAAAAAGGGAACATGCCACAGTGCCAGAGTTTTACTGCTTGTCTGTCTGGATCTTGAAGTCCCACAGGATCTTAGCCCTGCCATTCTCAACTACCCTTTGTGGTATCTCCCATCTGGACTTAGGCAGGTCCAATCCATATTCTGTGCAGATGTTTCTGTGTATGCTGTTCCTGCTAACATCTTGCATCCCGCTACTAGGTGCTGGACTGTCTCAGAGGCCTCTTTGCACAGACTGCACCTTGGGTCTTGCCTGGTGTTCTTAGACTCTAGCTTCTATTGATCTGGTGCTGAGTGCCTCTTCTTGTGCTGCTAGGATTAGTGCCTCAGTGCTGTCTTTCAGTCCTTCGTTTTCCAACCACTGGTAGGATTTTGTCATGTGAGCCACATCCACTATCTGCCGGTGGTACACTCCATGGAGAGGTTTGTCTTGCCAAGGAACCTTCTCTTTTTCTGCATCCTCTATCTGTTGAAGTCTTAGGCATTCCCTTAACAGTCCATCTTCGTAATATACTTGTGGATGCTCTGTGTTTCATCCAGGATTGTGGCCTTGACATTCATCAGGCCCCGACCTCCTTCCGGCTGGTGTACAGTCTGAAAGCAGACTACTGCATGCTGCCAGAACAGGAACCAGTCACCATCACAGTATTTTATATATATATAACAGGGCGCAAATTTCCACTAGCCTTGGGTAAGTAAAAATGTAAACCTGGGGCATAGGAATTCACCTAGGGTGAATGTGGTATGGTCCCTACAGGCTTGTAGTGGCAAGTGACTTTTAAGGCCTTGGTCGTAGCATAGTCCTTGAAATTCTACAGCCACCTAGATTGTATACCCACACAGAAATATGAGTTAATTAAAGCCATGCTGATAAGATAGACCAACCAAAAAAGTGTGTCACTAATGTTTGGCCACCCCTGCTAAGGTGCAAGACCTGTCTCAAGGTGTGAGACCTCTACAGTTGCACAGGGCACACACAGAATGGGGGCACTATCCCAACATAATGCTGTTCACTATTAAGTTAAAAGAGCACTATAGGGTCAGGAACACAAACGTTTACTCCTGACCCGACGTCATCCGGCGGGGAG